GTGTCGAGAGGTAGGTCGAGAGAGAGTGTCGCGAGTGAGGCAAAAGAGGAATCCAAATCGCTCCGGATGAAATCGGGAATTTGAAAAATCAGATATCAGTAAGTTTCTCTATCCTATATCTCGCCAGAACGGTTTTCAGGGTCCTGGCACCAGAATGAACCACAGTGAAGTTGAACTTTAAAATTAACTGATTGAACTTGGGTTAATTCCAGTCTTGAATCAAGGGGATCCTTGAAGTATTCCAAATGCAGAAGAAGCAAGGGGAAACCGCACTCGTCAGGTATTTCCCCATATGTTGTAAGACACTTCCCGTTTCTTGGGAGGATTTCAATTGTACTTGGCTTTCACGTTTTCCTGATGGTTGATACTGTTGGTAGGTACTTGAGTGGAGAGTTGTCTCTCTTTTTGGTTACGTGTAAGTGGTTGGTGGTTGATCTCTTGGCTTTTCTCATCAGCTTCTGTCAAGTCGACATATGTAGTGTACGTATGTACATGTAAGCAAGACAGGGACAGGCTTTCTTACGAAAAAAAGAACTAGAACCCAAGCTACCTTCCTAGCAGTTGTACATGTACATGTGCACGAAATACATACTAGTTAAGTTACTAGTTGATGTCTCAGTTTATATGTCCACTTTTAACAGTTTGATACAACACTGGAAAGCATTTGCTTACTGTGCATCAAGTACGTACGTTGGGCTAGTGTCCTGCGTATGTAAAGTTGTAGTGTAGGACGGGAACATCGCCAAGTCGAGCGGAGTGGATGTGGGCGAGCTGAAAATGGGGGGGGGGGGGGGGGTGGGGAACTCAGACAAAGGTACACCTCTAGGTGCGAGCGAACGAACGAACGAACAACCAACGAGTTTCCAACGACATCATTCATCCATCCATTCATCCATGCCAAACACTCACAACTACCTATGGTAATCACTATCAGTTGAAACTGTAAGTGATAGGTAAAATGGCATGGAAATATGCATTTCAAATGTGAGCACGCCAACACAGTGGGAAGTTATGAACGGGTACTGACTATCTTGTCAGTCAAACGGGCAAAAGGAGCGAGCGAACGAACGAACGAACAGAAGCGAAAAGCAAAGATTTTGATATCAAACTTTTCCCCCCCCTCTTCTTGTCCAGACTCCATCCAACCTACACAGCAGACACCACTTCACTTCACTCCTTCACAGTCCACAGTCCACACGGCCTCCTGCCCCATTCAATCACTTTACCTAATGTAAGAAATTCGACTGGCTGGTTGATATTTTAAAATCCAAACGGACGACTAGTGTAGTGTATGTACTGTAGTCCTGAACTAGTCCGGCTCCCCGCCCGACGCCTGACGCCCGTTGTTCCGGAAGTCCATGTCACTTGCGGGCGGGTCCCCCGCTCTCTCCCCGTTCCCCGTTCGGAACGAGATTAAGTGCCGTCCGTCCGTCCCTTGCTTTAGTGCTTAAAACAGTCCAGGCACTATGCTGGTTTGAGGAGGTACATACTGTGCTGTGCTATGCTGCATTGTTGTTTCTTGCATAAGTTTCACGTATATAAAACATACATGACAGAAGCTGAAGCTGACGTATGTACGCAGGTAGTATGTCACGTTCAAAGCAGTAAGTGGACTGACGCAGTACAATGCAGTATGTACCTAGCTGTTATCGAAAGTGACAACCCGGTGCCTGGGTGCCTGGATCTTGGCTCTTGGAAACAACACGGAGTGAACATGAAGTCGTGAAGTCGTGCATCTGATATGCATGCCTAGCATGCTTATTAGGTCTAGCTAGTCGATCTATCATATACCCACGAAGGGATAGAAGAGATAGAAGAGATACACTACCCACGCATGAGCTCAGTTGCTTCTAGATAGTTTAGCACATCAACATACCATCGCTAACTAAAACGAGAGTTTAGCCACCAACAAACAAACACCGTCTCTCCAGCCGTCCAACCGGTCCATTTGGCCGCACCAGTTAACTAGGACCGGCCGACCCCCCGGCAGGCATCAAACTATCAAAATGATTGATGTGGCCGAACGGTAACGGTACTCGACTCAACTCGATAAGACTCCCCCGTTCGGCCCCCTATTCCCTTTACGGCTCCCCCGTCCCCCGTCCCCCAGCTACCCATCTTGCCATCCTGCTGCCGACTTGTCCCCCGGCCGCCCACCCCCGGTATCGATATCGGGTGATCTGTGATCTGGTGCATGAAATCTCGATAGAGGAGCCTAAATCAGTTTGCTTAGGTTCCACTGATAGGATACTTTAAGCGGACGGCTTATGCATGCGGGTTTACATATGTAGTAGACTAGTAGCTAGGGAAGGTAGGTAGGTGATGTGTATGTTAGGGGCCGAGGGGGCCTACATAGGGGTCTGACGAGGGGTGTTAGGCAGTTAGGGGGCCGAGGGGGCTTTTAGGGCTTTGGACTTGGAGTGTTGGGGTATTGGGGTGTGTCATACCCGCGGACCCGGAGGAGCAAACATGTAAACAACTTTTGGCTGTAGGTACTTGGTGGGTGGAAGGTGACTGGAGGCAGGTGATAGATCACGGGCTTTTGTTTGAGTGTTGAGGAAGGGGTTCGGACTTTAGGTTTTGGCGTCTGGAACTTGGGGAGATGGGATATGGAGTCATCACTTGATAATATACTTGTGAACATGAAGTTAGAAGGTGTCCATGAGGTTAAGTCAGGTGAGTTTGACGCGTGCCGGATGCGTAGTGACAGTGGCTTGGTGATTCGTGAGCGGATGACTGCCAGTCTGCCACTGTTGAGAAATGTGATAGTGGTAGTATTGAAGTTGTCATCGAGTGGTGCAGGTAAAGGTCGACGGTTGACTAAATCATTCGTGAAGAACCCGTTAGGTAATGTTGGAATGTGATCAATACTCGCTCTAAAAAGTCAACGCAGACAATGGTACTCGCACTTTTCCATTTCAAAATGACCCAGACCCAGTAACAAATCCTTCCAAATACCGTCTTGCAATTTGAACAATGAGACAGACACTAGAATACCACTTTCACAAAGTCGTTGGTATAATTCCGCGTGCTTGAATTAGACGTACGACAAGGAAAAGAAGCGAAGTTTGTTTAAGCGGTCCGTCCCGGTCTGGAATCCCATCGGCCATAAGGATCGGCACCGGAGTGAGACTGAAAAGGCTGCCCGGCGACGACGCTATCGTATCGTGAGCAGCATGGTTGTCGGTTGTCGTTGCCGACAGATGAGCTCCTCTTGCTCAACGGTTTCTGGTCAATCATCCTCATTTTGATTCTTCAGCTCCGGAGTTGTGGTACTCCGAAGAGATGTTAGCCCAAAGCAGACTCGACGAGATGACACCGCGATGAGTTAGGCTGGCTGGTTTTGTTGTAGGTGAAATGAAGACCGGTGATCTTCTCTTCAATGCAAGGCTTGTTAGAGAGGGTTGTACTCCGTGTCCGAAGAACTGTACCTGAGTGTCGATGGTTGTTAAATGATCTCGTGTTCAGTTCTCACTATCTTAGTACGACCGTCGCATCGTCGGTCTAGTTCTAAACGAGACGCTGTCGGCCCGTTGTCGGGTTGGGCATGAAGATATCATAGGGTGTTTTTGGTTTCTGGTCCTCACCACGGCCGATCAATATTTATCTCGCACAGTCTTTCTCGGCTCGGCCTGATCCGACCTTGATAGACCCTGTCGGGCTGAATTTGGGGTCAGATTGGGGGCCGGACCGGCTGGTAAAGTGAGGCGAACATGGCCGGTGAGTAATGCGGAACGTGGTGTCTGTAGATCCGGACGGGAACTATCGAAGAACTCGACGGTAATCGCGGCTACATTATAAAACAAAAGAGACGTCTTGAGAAATGTAGGAAGGAAGAGTGACGGAAGTGACTGTATAGACAGACGTGCCTGTTTCTAGGTTGAAGCACCGCAGCTGTGTTCCAGATGCTTGCAAAGGGGAAGCACATAGACTCGAGTATGCCATCAGTATCGACTTCTCTTTGCTTGCATTGAAGATTGCATACCTGTTCTCGGAAAAGTGAACCATTATTGCCCCCAGAGGTCGTCAAAGGTGACTTTCCTAGCTACACTTGGCAGTGTCGTGATAAGGCCCTATTGCATATCGCGAATTCCAAATGGCCACCTGCAAGACCTTCCAAATCGATACCGTTGATCCAGAATGCTAGGATTTTGAAGGGAAGTAATGTAAACCTGTAGCTATCGCTGCTTAAACATGGAAACATATACCTGGCTGGTTAGGTTACGTGGAAACGAAAAGCTGCGTGCGTAGTAGGCGACTAAAATAAAGTCTGCGGTCGTCAAAAAGGCAAAAAAAAAAAAGTGGCGGGTTAAGCAATCCAATAGCACACCGTCCGGAGTCAAAACCACGCTCTCTCTGATAGCCGGCGATGGACTGACCGCTACACCAACTACCTCCTGAGGTGGACGTTACTGCTAGACTCTCCCGGTCCCGACGGTAAGTGGCACGCGAAAGGTCGCTTATATGGGCAGGTCCAGTGACAACCACTTGTGAGGCCTGTTTTCTGCACATGTAAGCCGAGAAAGTACGGTTCGAATGAAATATCTTCGGTAGTTGAATGCCGGTGTGACTCCATCTGGCCAGGAGGGATGTATCGAAACGCGGACAGCATGAGCTCGCCGTATTCATTTCAAGTTTGGCAGCGGTAGAGGATCGTGTAGTCTCGTGTGTTGGTGAAGCTACATGTAGTTATTTGCTCGCTGCTATCCAGACGTATCCCTTGGTTCGATATTGGCATGACATTCGTGTCTTCCATTTATTCCCTCGCCGCTTCATTTCCAAACCACAAACACAAGGTTGAATGTCACATCAGGTTCAGGAACACAACGGAGCCACATTTCTCCCATGTCCCGAAGTTCCGCTTATCGCTGTGAATAAGACGGCCCGTTGTTTATGGTCAGTCAATGTCGTGGAGCGAAACAAAAGGGATGGGGTACCGACTGTATATATATCAATCGCCTTGCTGTCCACCAACTTCCCAACCGTGCCCACCTGGAGTTCTAACCACCGTGAAGCGTGGAAATAAAGAGGATGTTGTCTCCCGGCTGAAGCACGTAGGCGTCTTCCTCTTCCAGTTCCCAGTCGCATTCATTGATTAGACACAAGATACCTGGGCGGCTATTTGGTTCATGTTCTGTTAGCATGTGGCTTTATCCAAGGGAAAGCGGAACGCAAGATTAGACTCACAGTTCACCACCAAGCACAAAGAGATCTGCGCGAGGGTCCGTCATGAGCTTTTCGCATAGATACTTGATGAGAAAGCCAACGTTGGCTGGCTTTCCTTCAGAATCTTGGGCTGGTACTGAGAGAGCATGATGCTTCTGGTGGGAAAAGAGAATCTCAAGGCCGCCACTGGAAGAAAGATATTGCGTTAGTGAGATGGACCTAGTACGTCGGTAGGAAGATGATACTCACGAGAAGTCGACGGTGATGTCGAGCTTTTGATATTTTTGGTCTGACATGGTGATATATGTTCGGCTTTGAGTGTGATTCAAAGCGAACGTCTATGTTGTTGTACGGATGAAGTTGAAGAATTCAGGGTAAATTGTGTGGTGGATGACCAAGAAAGGAATATTTGCGTGAAGTTGACAACACAACTTATACGCGCTGATTGGATGTTTGCTGCACTCGCCAGGCTTTCAAGAGCTAATTAAATAAACTGGGAAAAAGTCTGCCATGTTAAGTCCTGCAAAGTAATCGAAGTGGAGTCGCTTCAGGCCCAAGCAAGGGCCTAAAAAACTCCAAGCTTGGGGCCTGTAGCCAATCATGACGACTCCTCGACAGCGACTTAACTACAAATCACGACTTCCCTTCCATCACTCATTATTTGCGGGTTGAGTGTGATTTCAAAATTGGGGTCAAAATCGAAAAGAAAAAATCATGACCGAAACAGCGATTGACACTCGCTATTTGTCGGCCGGCGCAAATAGGTACGCCGCTGCCGCTGACTGGGGAGAAAATGGCCTGGTGGCATTTGGCGCAGACATCAACGTCTGTCTCTGGAACCCTTCGGTATGACCACAGCATGACTATTCCACCCTATGAAGATTTCTGCTAATACCTGTCCCAGAACACCGTTGGCATCTCCCAGATTCTGAGTGGTCATACAGCTCATGTACGGGCTGTCAAGTTCCTTCCTAGGTTGCAGGATGAGAAGTCAACTTACCTCATAAGCGGAGGTGACGACCAAAGCCTTCGGATCTGGGCTGTCGACGGCGAGACGGGTGTCGCAACATGTGTTCAAACTCTGCAGGAACACACCGCCCCTATCAACTACCTCGCAGCTCTCAAGATTCCCGTCGGCAGCACCAAGCGCTGTATTTTCGTTTCGGGCGCGGCAGACTCTACCGTCAAGGTCTGGTCCTTGGACGTCTCATCCGGCCAAGTCACCCTCCTCCAAACCATCAAGACGGCGAAGAAGTACTTCCCCTTGGCTCTTGCCCTGAGCCCCTTGAATGACGAGGGAACTGCTCTCATTCTGGCCGTTGCCGGAACCACCAACATCATCCAGATCTTCACTGCGTCAACAGCAGACAACAACACACAACTCGAATTCACCCGCAAGCCACCCTCCCGGCCACGAGAACTGGATCCGATCCCTCGATTTCATCCGCGAAAAGCCAAAGTCCGAAGCCGAAAGCGACATTCTCCTCGCTTCAGCCAGCCAGGACAAGTACATCAGGATATGGCGTATTCACCAAGGCAGTGCGCTGTCCATGCCCACCTCGGCCGCCTCAGATGCCTCTGCTGCCGCCGCCGCCCTGACCCCCGGTCCGGCCAACAAGATTCACAAGATCAAGGTTGAGGGAGCTGACCCCGTCACTAACAAGTACTGCATCATGTTCGAGGCTCTGCTCCTTGGTCACGAAGACTGGATCTACACCGCACGCTGGTGCCGCTCTCCTACCTCCACCACCTCCGACAGCGGCGAGGGTACCCTGCAACTCCTCTCAGCCTCAGCAGACAACTCGCTCTCCATCTGGGAGTCTGACCCAGAGTCGGGTATCTGGATAACCGTCGCCCGTCTCGGCGAGGTCAGTCGCGAGAAGGGCGCCACCACAGCAACCGGCAGTATCGGCGGTTTCTGGACGGGCATGTGGTCGCCCTCGGGCACGACCGTCATCACTCTCGGGCGCACCGGCAGCTGGCGCCGGTGGGATTGGGACAGCGACGATCAAGCGTGGAAGCAGAACTTTGCCGTATCCGGCCACACCCGCGCTGTGACGGGCATCTCGTGGTCCCGCAACGGCGTCTATCTTTCGTCTACCAGCTCCGACCAAACTACCCGGCTCCACGCCGAATGGGCCACCAACCCTACCTCTAGTGTCACAACCAGCAAGCGCACCTGGCACGAGATGGCCCGCCCGCAAATCCACGGCTACGACCTCAACTGCATCGACTCCCTCTCCTCGACCTCCTTCGTCTCCGGCGCCGACGAGAAGCTCATGCGCGTCTTCACCGAGCCCAAAGCCGTCGCGCGCATGTTGAACAAGCTAACAGGCAGCTCATCCGCCTTGTCCTCCTCGGAATTCGACTCCCTCCCCGCCGACGCCGCCAACATCCCCGTCTTGGGCCTCTCCAACAAAGCCATCGACGTGATCGACGACGACGCCGACGCCTCCGCTGCCGCAGGTGGTACCCCCGATGGCGGCCGCGGCGGCGACGTCACTGCGCAAGACCGTGAAAACATGCTCGACCCCGCAAGTATGGTGCGCAAGTCTGCGCTGGAAATCGACCACCCCCCCTTCGAGGAATCACTCAGTCGGCACACCTTGTGGCCTGAGGTAGAAAAGCTCTACGGACACGGCTACGAAATCTCCTGTCTTGCCGTCTCCCATCCCACCGCTTCCTCCTCCACTCCATCATCCGGTCAGAAAGAAACGCACCTAATCGCCTCAGCCTGCCGCGCCGCCTCGCTCAATCATGCCGTCATCCGCCTCTTCGAAACCGACAAGTGGACCGAACTGCGCCCCCCGCTGAAAGCACACACATCCACCATCCACCGCCTGCGCTTCTCTTCCGACAACCAATATCTCCTTTCCGTAGGAAAAGATCGCCAGTGGGCCGTCTTTCAGCGCGATCCTGCATCGAGCGCAGGGTACACCCTCCTGCAAATTAACCCCAAGGGCCACAGTCGTATGATTCTTGATTGCGCTTGGGCGCCCAAGACCTCATCACCCTCAGCCTCTCCCGTGGACGTGGACGTGGATGTATTCGCCACAGCTGGCAGAGATAAAGCTGTTAAGATCTGGGTTAGGAGGAGGATGAATGCTTTACCTTCCAAGCCCAAGCAGGAGGGAGAGGGAGAGGGAGAGACGGAAAAGGAAAAGGAAAAGAAGAAAGAAGAAGAGTTTTCTTTGGGTTTGTCACTAACAGAAGACCAACCCATTACGGCTCTAGACTTCGCTTCGACACCGTTGAGTGTTTCCGAGGATGGCAGTAGTGCCATCTTCCTGTTAGCCGTGGGCACGGAAAGCGGTAAACTATCGGTATTGGCGATCAAGGTTACTACTATCTCCTGTAGTAGCTCGTCGGAGGTTAGTGTGGCGGTGGCGGAGACGTTCAAGGTCGGGGAGCAGTTGTGGTTGCCAAAGGCGGTGATGCAACTTGCTTGGAGGCCGAGGGTTAGGAAGAATGGTGATGGTGAGGGTGAGGATGATGACAGCGATAAGGAGAAGGGTGAGAAGAAGAAGCAGGCGAGGGAGTTGGCTATTGCTGGTGAGGATGGGTCTTTGAGGATATATGAGTTTTGTCTTTAGTGGTTGGGTTCTGGTAAGAGGAAAATAAGGATAGAGTAAAATTTCAATGGCATCAAATAAATTGGTTCTTGGTTCGAGATAGGAGGTTATTGGCAAGTGACATGAGGTGCATGTGGTATAAATGAATGCCTGGTTGAACAAGTCTCCCATATAGCTCAGGCCGCTGGCTGGCACCGGTGTTGAAGAGACGTTGACAAGACATTGGCCAAAAAGCCCACAGCTATGGTACTGTTTAAAGATCTGAAGCCTTTAGAGAGTGTTGATCATGTACTGCTATTAAAGACTACCTAAACCGGGTTGTCCTGTCTTGTCCTTCTATGCAAGAATGTATATGGTTGTTGTTCATCTATCGTTTGCCGTCTCCCAACCTTGACCAGCTAGCTTCATTACGTGTGATATATTTCTTTTCCAATCCTGAACGCCAAATAACCCGACTGATATACCCCTTGCCTCCTTCCTGCCTTGATCTCCAAAATCTGATTCCCACAACATTACAACGCACACCACCCAAGTTACTTCATAGCGCGGGCAGACTGCCCGAGTGCCCATCAAGGTTCGATCAATCCCTTCGAGGTCCATGATCTTGAAAGGTTCGGCTGCCGCGGAACAGACGGATTGCTGACACCATCTCGAAGTGAGAAGCGTCGGGAGTCGCCCAGAGAGACAGTGCGCAGGCCGCGCCCCCAGTAATACAGACACCACTGGTGACCGTAGGTGTTGCATACCGGACGAAACTCCCTGTTGCCGCCCCCCTGGGAGAGAAATCGTTGCCTCAAGTGAGCTTCCGCATCAACCGTCCGTCCGTTTCTTCCTCTGCCATTACTGACACCTCCACGGCATCAATCGATCCGACCACCTAGTACACCTCAAATTCCCAGAGAGTTCACCATCTTGCCCAGTAGCTTTCAAAGGGTTCTCCGTCTTACTCATGGCTCATCGCTTAGAGTTCCCTAATAACCCCAACCGTAGCATCCGCGGCCCTGCCCAGCGCCTCGACAGTCTTCTCCGAACCAAGCAACGCGCTCTTGGTGACGGTGACGGCATTAGAAACGACATCGAGGATCGAGTCCTGGGCGTCGCCGTGCATGTAGAACCAGGCGCGGCGGGCGATGAATTGCACGTGGTGCGGGAGGTAGAGGACGGTGGCGATGAAGGTGAGGGAGACAAGGAGGAAGAGGACTGAGTCTGTTCAGGAGAAGGATTGTTAGCTATTGAGTTTCGCGGGGGAACAGATAGAAATGGGGATAATCTTTGGTAATGGGCGTGGATGGTAAGGAGACCATGCCGTGGGAGGGAGGCAAAGAGCTAAACGTACAAAAGATGAACTTTTCAATAGGCGTAAAGATGTACACGCTCATGGTAACCTCAAGCTGGTAAATCTTGAGCTTAAACCACTTGCTGAATGCCTCGAGGTAGGAAGACATGATGGGCGTTTGTGTAGTTCGTGTCTTGGTGTATGTGTGTGTATGTGTGTTTACTCGGAAAAGGCGGGAATCGAGAGTTTCGAGAAGAACCGCTGCGGTTTTGCGATCGATCGTTCGATGGGAATGGAGTTCGATAGGTCTCGGTTTGGGGTTTGCGGGTTTGCGACGACTGCGAGCGATGCGATTCGGGAAAGGCGGTATATAACAGACGAATTACAAAAAGTCCAGGTTAGGTTGATGATGATTAAAAAGCCGGTCAAGGTCAACTAGAGACAAGAAAACGAAGAGTCGCGCAGGAAAAAATTGGCAAAGAGAAGGAAGCGGCAAGGTCAGGAATTCACGGAGGAGGTGGTTGTTCAATGCGAAAAAGGATCAGATCGAATGTTCAAGAGGCGGGATCCAACAAATCCGCCGTTTCAGTCGCAACAATTCATCCACTGGCCTGCAAGCCTGCGCACAGCTGGGGAAGTCGCGAACCACTGCCCTGCGCTACACTGCACTGCGCGACAGCGACAGGGCGCCGACGGGCGGGACCGGGGACGGGAACTTTCTGTCAGACTGTCACCGCCTACAAGGCCCAGCCCAGAGCGCTTCTCTCGCTCTTTGGGGCTTTCAGTGCCACTGCTTTGTGCCAATTGTGCAGTTCCACTTGCATGCTCTCTGACAATGGAAGTGCCTGCCCCGGAACCCGGAACTGCCAGCGAGATCAGAAGTTCAGAAGGGAAGAGCCCAGAGCGAACCATCGGCCTATCCGCGCCTTCCATGCTCTCCAAATGCTGAGCCCCTGAAATTAGCGTCGTGCAAATCTTATCGGTCCCTTATCATTGGTCATTGAGTAGACCCAAAGTCCCACCAGCGTTGTGACCGACTTTGGCCCGTGACGACGACGAACGGCGACGACGATTTGTTGCCGGCCCCGACGACCGCCCTCCTGCAGCGCAATTGCCAGCCGGATGCGATAGCAAGCCTAGGTGGCTCCGTTCCGTCATCATCATCAGCATCATGAATGATCCCGTCCCCGTCGTGATAGTCCTCGGCTCCGGATTCGGATGATATGAAGACAACACTTCGCCTACCGGCTCTTTTCGACACAGCAGGTGGTCGAATCCTGAAATATGGCGACCTACCTTTTTTGTCTGGCTTGGGTTTGAGCTCCGGCTTGCTGGGACGGCGACCGGTGATCGCAACACTAGCGGCCCGGCCAGGCACAGCAGCAGCAGCAGCAGCAGCAGCGACAACACCGTTCACCACCACCGCCGCATCATGGCTCAAATCATGGCAAATGCCTCCCCGTCCTAAACTGCCCGAGGACGAGTTGGAAGAGGTTTACCTCAAGGGTAGCGGTCCTGGTGGACAAAAGATTGTATGTCGTCGCCCTCCTCTCCCCTCTGCCACTTTGATTCCCTTTCGCCATACCCCCTTCCATCTCTTTTCCCTCCTCCTAGCTCCCCATGTGCCATCTCCTGTCTCCCAGTATCTCACCCACTCCTCTCCTCATCCCCAGTTACTAACCGTCTTCCCCCTCTCACAGAATAAAACAAACTCCGCCGTCCAACTCCGCCACATCCCAACCAACATCGTGATCAAATGCCAAGAAACGCGTTCGCGCACGCAAAACCGCAAGCTAGCGCGGGAGATCCTCGCCGCCAAGGTAGATTTTCACCTGAACGGGGATAAGTCGCGGGTAGCGATCGTGGGCAACGTCAAGAAGAAGAAGGCGGATAGTAAAGCCAAGAAGGCTCGGAGGAAGTATAAGAAGTTGGAGGAGGAGAAGGCTGGTAAGGGTGGTGCTGGTGTTGATGGGCAGATAGCGGAAGGGGAAGAGGGTAGAGAGGTGGAGGAGGGGGAAGAAGGGGAAGAGTGGGAAGAGGTTGATGCCGAAGCTGCTGAGGGAGAAGAGGAGCTACAAGAGGCTAAGAAGGGAGAAGAGGCTGAGAAGCGCGGAGGAAGCGCAGATGCCGCCGTTAAGCAGTGAGAATACCCATGATGATGTTAGCAAATAAAGGAAAGATCGAAGCCATCTGGTTCCTGCCACTGGTTTGCACCCTAGACCATTCTCGACCGTGCAAACGACCGCTTGTTACTCGGTTCCAGAGCGGTGAGGATCGCTTGGATCGGTATCGCCGCCTTACCATGGGGTTCTCCTTCCATCAATCCATAGGCACATGCATCTCGATCTTAGTGTGGATCTGATACCTTGACAATCAGCAAGGCCCCTTTTGCCCTTGACTTGTATTATTCTAATTACCTAGTTCACGGCCAAGGGACATGCGGCTGAAAGTGTTGCCAGTAAAAAGAACGCTGTTTGAAATTTTGATGATATTTTCATCCACGATAACCTCGAATTGCCCAGTTGTGACTAAAACTTGCTGCTAAAAGTGTACTAAATAGAGAAAGGGTGTTGGCAAGATCAAGAAGCCCGCATACTTGATCGCGCCTATCCCACGCATTCGCAGCCGTCGCCGCCCACCCAGAAAACAGAAAAAAGAGGCCATTATTTATGTCTTCTAGTAGAGAAAAGAGACGCCAACCCCCTTCTGACCACGCTCACTACTTTTCGTATAAGAGAGACCTGTGCAGAATACACGCGCAATGCAGACATGCTACCTGACGCAGATAGGGGTGTTATGGCCCCAGTTGGCGCTGGCTCGTGACAGTCGTGGATTTGTCCATTTATTGAACTACATACAAGGTGTAAGCCGACGACGCTCCGCTTCCAACTGCAACAACGACCTCTCAAGGACACCCACTTTAGAAGCACTTGCGGTGCACGATCGAGGGACCGCTCTCGTCGTACTCCTGCTTGGAGATCCACATCTGCTGGAAGGTCGAGAGCGAGGCGAGAATGGAACCACCGATCCAGACGGAGTACTTGCGCTCGGGAGGAGCAATGATCTTGACCTTCATGGAAGAAGGAGCAAGAGCAGTGATCTCCTTCTGCATACGGTCGGAGAGACCAGGGTACATGGTGGTACCACCAGACTAGTGACGAAAACGTTAGTGGGCTTATCCTGTACTGCCAACTCCACAGCGAACGGGGACTTACCATGACAATGTTGCCATAGAGATCCTTCCTGACATCGACGTCGCACTTCATGATGGAGTTGAAAGTGGTGACGTGGATACCGCCGGATTCGAGACCAAGGACGGAAGGCTGGAAAAGAGCCTCAGGAGCACGGAAGCGCTCGTTGCCGATGGTGATGACCTGACCATCGGGAAGCTCGTAGGACTTCTCGAGAGAAGAGCTCTGGGCAGCGGTCTGGATCTCCTGCTCGAAGTCGAGAGCGACGTAGCAGAGCTTCTCCTTGATGTCACGAACAATTTCGCGCTCGGCGGTGGTGGAGAAGGTGTAGCCACGCTCAGCGAGGATCTTCATGAGGTAGTCGGTAAGATCACGGCCAGCCATGTCAACACGGGCAATGGCGTGGGGAAGGGCGAAACCCTCGTAGATGGGGACAACGTGAGTGACACCATCACCGGAGTCGAGGACGATACCGGTGGTACGACCGGAGGCGTAGAGAGAAAGGACGGCCTGGATGGAGACGTAGAAGGCGGGGGCGTTGAAGGTCTCGAAAACGATCTGTGTCATCTTCTCACGGTTGGACTTGGGGTTGATAGGAGCCTCGGTAAGGAGGACGGGGTGCTCCTCGGGGGCGACACGGAGCTCGTTGTAGAAGGTGTGATGCCAGATCTTCTCCATGTCATCCCAGTTGGTAACGACACCGTGCTCGATGGGGTACCTGAGAGTAAGGATACCACGCTTGGACTGAGCCTCATCACCGACGTACGAGTCCTTCTGGCCCATACCGATCATGATACTGGCATGGTTGTCAGTTTTCCGAACGTCTTACAGTGTTGCGCGCGCGCGGGACGCTGGGGAGTAAATGGTATGCATACCCATGATGACGGGGACGACCGACGATGGAAGCTATCGCGACATGTTAGTATGGCTGGACGTTGGGTCTTGGCGGGGGGTGGGAGTAGCTCTCTGCTGACACGTTGCCCGTCTCAAGCAGGAGCTACTCCTCGCGGGAATAGTGGGAACACTTACGGAAAACAGCTCTGGGTGCGTCATCACCGGCGAAACCGGCCTTGCACATACCCGAACTGGGCGGTTGTTAGCTATTGTCCATGGGAATGTTCACAATCTAGAGTTGGCTATCGGGCGGCGGCGAGGCGTCGATTGCGGGTGGAATATGACGCTTCTCCTGGGAGTCGGTGAGGCGCAGGCGGGGAAGAGGGGAAAGCTTACCCATTGTCGATAACGAGGGCGGCAACTTCTTCTGTTGGCGGGAAATGCATCAATCAGCTTGTGTCCATGATAAACAGTAGAGGGCGATGATGGCAGAAGTCGGGTGCGCCGGCGACAAGCTCTTCGGCGCAGGCAGACTGGGACCGAGACTGGGACTGGGACTGGGACTGGGCAGGAATGTGGACATGTTGGCGTTACGTACCCTCCATTGTGATAGATTAGGTGGTGACGAAAAGTGTCGGATTAAGCAAAAGGTACAGAAGAAGAGTTATTAAATACGCTCGACGATTCCCGGATCGATGGAGCGATGATGATTTGGCTGAGAGTGGTGTTGCCGAAGGACGTAGAGACGTTGTTTGGGCAAAAATTTGGATGTTGTTCGGTAGGCGGAGGAGTTGGAAAAGGGGAGGTGAATTTAAGGTCAGCTTTGGGAGTACGAGGCGGCGGGTGGATTGAGGGGGGAGAGGTAGGGGAGGTAAGGGGATGGATTGCTGTGGTGCCAGGTGCGAGGGAACGGATGGCGGACTGGGGGGGCACAGGTTGATTGGGGACTTTGGGACTGGGCCGGGGGACTGGACACTGCTGGCTGCTGGCTTGGTTGGACTGGGCCTGGTCACCTCACGGCATGGGACTTGGCGGACGGCGGCGGAGGAGGGAAGGAAAGGCGGGCAGGGCAGGAACACCTCAACACCGATGTCACTGTTCTTGCTCACTGGCAGCTGGACTGGACACTGACAAGCGGAAGTCAGCCAGCGAGATGAATGGAAGCACCCCTCGCCGGGCTGCGCTACCTGCTGCCTGCACTGTTGCCCGTGGTTCACGACGGGATGGGATGGATCACTGTTGCGAGTACAACACCCTCCTCCCTCCTCACTGTTCGCTTTCTACCCTACACTACAAACTCCCAAATCACCAAATCACTGGCCGCACCGCCCCCTTGCTGTCTGGCATATTCGTGGACAAGTTGTCAAAGTCACAGTGTCATGCTTGATCGGGGTGGCTCAAGGTGGATTCCCGAGTGGCCTGCGATCCGTAAAGTGGGTAGGAGACACCGCCTAATTTTGGGAGGACAAGGGGATCTTCCTGCCGCCAACACACTTTGGGAAGGCTTCCGCACCTCGGAGGCGAGTGGACGTCTCGTCTCGACATTCAATGTTTTGGCAACTGGCAGCCCATTGATGATTCCAGTCTATTGCAGCCCGGCCGGGGTCGTCACCGCTGTGTGCCGTTCCTGTTCGACGGGCAGTTAGACGATTGTGAGAATAAGAAGCTAGAAGCGTGGGAGCGTGGCTGGTTCAATGTCAATGTCATCCCCTGCCTTGTTGCCGTTGTGCACTACATACCTAGTCACTGTCCCCCTTGTTGCACCCCGTTCATTACACCTTTATTACTCCTCCTGAAGAAGGCGTTTGCAATTCCAGAAGATCCAATGTTCTTTACCGTCTCTTCTGTTGGAGCCTGGCTGATTACGATCTCTTGGAAGCTGGTCCGGATCGCAAAACCCCATGGCCCCGGGGGTCCGAGTGCCTTTGACGGCTCCAGGGCCGCCCGGTACGGGATCTGACGGAGATAGCCTACGGTATGCACTCGGGTCCATACGGTGGGGAGACTTCCAGCAGCGGTGTCATTTCCAAGGAAACGCCATCTCATTGGGGATGAGAACGAGGTATTGCCACAGTCCAACACCAACACCACCAACCGACAACCACCGACTTTATTGGCGTTTACATACTTCATCCCACCATCCACCACACCTTCACAGCCTGGAATTGGAACTTTTGTTTCGCTGTTCACGTTGAACCAAGTTAAGCTGACGTATGCCCCATTAGGTATCCGGGAATTTTGCAACCCAAACGACAAAGAACATGAGGTCGAGATACGCATCACCGATCATTATCTTGTTTCGCCAAGCAGGCATCTCGTCTCCTTTCCTGAAGCCTGACATGAACATCTAGGCTTTTCCCTAGGCGCCGACCATTATTCCCTGCGCTGCCGCAAGTGGCTTGCGTATGCACCGCACTTTAAAATGTCAGCCTTGTCAACCGTTAGGACGGCATTCCCGGCAACGATGATCACTGTTCCCCTTTTCAGTGATCTAAAAGGAGCATCAATATCAGCAGCCTGGAGTCTTTTGTCTCGATTTACACACAAATCTACGAGAAACACCCGCCAAGCGAAAAGCGACGAGTTCCGCAACGGGTTCGGACATGGCGCGGCTGTGGTCCATTCAATCATCAATGCATGTGTTCCAGCGTGGTGGGTATCGATGACGGTGGGCCAGGCAGTAGCATTGTGGGCGGGATTCCAACAGCAACAAGCTTGAATATCTACGTGGACGACAGAGACAACACCAAACAGCACCAAGGACCACTCTGGACCAACCCCGCGTCGAGGTCGACAATATCAGAGCACTCTTCAAGCTGTGTTGAGTGTCAACTTGTCAAGCGATCAAGCTCTGGCTGTGAAGGGGCCCATTCTCAAACACAAGTCCTGTTGGATGCTCATGGTCAATGCGACCTTCTCCAACCAATCACCCAGCCTCCTTGTTTACCCTTTCGTTGTCACTTTATGCGATCCTCCGGAACGGAGCGAAGCTGCCACTGCCACTTTGAAATGCTGTGATTGCTTCAGGTCATGTCAGCCTGTCTCGTCGTCTGTCGCCTACTGTCTCCCCGCAGAGCGACGGTTTGGAAGCAACAACGACGAGGGGCAAAAGGTGGGGCAGCTGCTGCCCGCTTTCCTCATCGTGCGTTGAGTTGTGAAAGGTGCAGTGTGGAGGGGCAGTGCACAGACTATTTCAGCTCGGGAAGCTGTCTCTGTTAAAGCACATGGGCCTGGAGCTTGGACCTCATTTGAGTCTCCCTTTTACCCCCTGAATATTTGACGATGCCCCATGTTCGTTTGATGTTTTATTTCCTTCTAGAAGCTGAAAGGTACCTTCTCTTCCTGGGACAATGATTTCGGAAGATTAAATCTAAGCGGAAGCAGCCTTGCTACACACTTGCCTTATTCCAGAGATCCTCATAAGCAAGCGGCTCCACGTCTCATTCCTTTTCCAAATTGCCAGCCAGTTTAACACGTGGGGAAGGCGCTAAGCCGTATTGGGACCGAACTTTCCTGAAACTCAAAGAACAATCGAGATGGGATTGGACAGCAATCGCGCATTATCGATAAGTCAGCCTTGCGCAAACCGAATCCTTATCGTTCTTATACTGTTTGTACATTGGCGGGGCGCAAACATCATTAACAAAGTGTTTAACTGATCAAGTCATCCTCGATACCCCATCCATCACACGAAAATCAAGGACCCTGTTGGACCTGTGACACAGCTACTTCATATCGAATATCAACCGAGTCTACCAGCCAAACGAACCAAACCTCCCAAGTCTCATTCAGAACAAGTCTCGGCGCAAACCACCAGACAAGCGCAAACAAGCAGCCAGAACCCAAAACCACCACTTAATCACAACCAACAAACCAACATTTCAAAATGGAGAAGAACCTCAACCAACTCCTAAAATGGTCCATCGAAGCCCAAGCCGCTGCCGCAGCAGGCCAATCCCACTCCAACGGCACCCCGCCTCTAACGACGGCCCAACCCCCGGCGCCGGCGCCGTCGCGACCTCTCCCGCTCCCGGCGTCACCGCTCCCGGCCCGCGCCCCATCGACCCCGAAGTCCTCGCCTCTCTCTTCGGCGGGCCCTCGGAAGCCGAGCTGATGAAAGCCGCCATCGAAGTGATCACCGACCCTTCGCCCCACGTCACGCTCGAGAACCGGCTGATCGCCTTTGACAACTTCGAGCAGCTGATCGAGAACCTCGACAACGCAAACCTGATTGAGAAGCTGTCGCTGTGGTCGCCGCTGCTGTCGGTGCTGGAGCACGACGAGGAGGAGATGCGTTTCTTCGCGGCGTGGTGCGTCGGCACCGCGGTGCAGAATAATGAGAAAACCCAAGAAAGGCTGCTGGCTATGGGCGGCGTTCCCAAGCTCGTGCAGCTGGCCATGAAGGAGGGCGAGACGGAGAAGGTCAGGCGCAAGGCTACGTATGCGCTCAGCTCGGCGGTTAGGAATTATCAGCCGGCTATGGATGTTGCTGCTCAGGAGATGCATAAGCTCGGTCATGAGGTTTTGGTTAACAACGGGAACGCAAAGGTCGATGCGGCGGATATGGATAAGGTTGATGAGGTCATTGAGTGGTTGAGGACGAAGGCTAAGTCTGCCTAGATGGATGGGGCCATCAAGGTCTCGGGGGGGATGATGAGGAATGAAGCAAAAGGAATGGAGAAAATGTGGAAGATATGTTTGTTTTTAAGGCATTGGAAAAGGCGTTATGGGATTTGTATTTGAGATCTAGATGATGGGTTCTGTCGGTTGTCATGATACCTTGACCCGTTCTGCAAGCTAGAAAGAAAGGGATATGGATATATGATATGATTATAGACTTGGGCAAATACCCCTTGACGATGTCCGTTGACAGCGGGCAGAAAATGACGACAACTTGGTTCACACAATGATTCACACTTCAACTTTGACGAGCTCGTGATTTTACTTTCTTTTGTTCTTCTTCTTCTTCTTCTTCTTCAACCCTCAGACCCAGTGGTATTTTTTCTTCTTCCCATATCCATTCCCACATTTATCTATGAAATCTTTCCGGTTCTCCTCTCGTGATGTTGTTACAAAAAAAAGTGTATGGTATATGTACACCCAACATACCCAACACACCTACTACACATCATCCATCCCTATGCGGCGGCGGTGGTGGTGTAATTTCGTATTGTACAAAAGTTTCACACATCTCTTACTCCGTCCTCCTCAACCATCATCATATCATCTTCCACTCACACACGATGCTATGGTAGAGTCTAAATTGCTTGATTTTTTCCCTCTTCCTCTTCATATTTGCTTTTTTAGGTCCCGACTCAACTCGACCTCTCTCAAGACCAAACAACCAACCCGTTTGGCCCCGTTTGGGCGCTTAAGAGTTGTAGAAAGGCATGCCGAGGGACTGCAGAAGAAGCTTGGCTTGTCTGTCGGAAGTGGCTGTCGTCTTGATGGCGATGTGGCAACCGGGGATCATCTTGGGGGGGTACATCTAAAGTAGAAAGAGCAGGAAGTTAGCAATCCGTTCATCTTGAAGTCAACTCGGAAGCTGGTAGGGCTAAAGTTAGAGATGGAGCCAGAGCCGGAGCCAGAGCCGGAGCCAGAGCCGAAGCCAAAGCCGGAGTCGAGTCTCTCTCATCCCGTCCTCTTTCCAGCTTCAGCTCCAACCCTCTCTCCAACTCCAACTCCAGCTCCCCTCCTTCCTCCTTCCTCCCCCTTCTCCCCATCACTCATCTCACCCCCAAGAAAAACTCACATCATAATTACACTCCACCTCGGGGAAAAGCTGGACATCCTCCGGGTTAAGACCAAACTGCACATTACCGCTGCCATCGCCCGTACTGGCACGAATGCCCTTCCAGTCCTTGATCCTAGGGAAAACCAGATGGACGAGGCGATCGAGAAACTCCCACGCCGCGTTCCCGTAGATGGTCGTCTTGCAGCCCGCGGGCTTGTTCGCCTGCAGATGCCACTGCACCACGTTGGACTTTGAGCGCGTCATCTCCGGCATCGTGCCCGTCATGGCCAGCAGCACCGCGCGCGCCGCGATCAGCATGTCCGGGTTCTTGAGACCAAGCGGCACGAAGGTCGAGACTGTGATTTCCTGGATCTCGGGGATGTTGCGGAAGGTGATGTCGCGCTCGCGAATCGGCAGCTCGGGGGCGCCGCGGGGCGCACGGCGCGCGCGGTTGGCGAAGTAAGGGCTATCGCCCTCCCAGGCACGCAGGCGCTCCGTGGGTTCCTTTTTGGGTGTGCCAGGTGGGGTGTGGATGTAGGTCAGCGTCATGAGGTCGGAGGCCATGACGGTGCGGAAGGTTTCCTTGAGGCGAGGCATGTTGAAGGGCCCGGGGACGAAGTCGCGGGCGATGGGGTCGGAGGAGGGAGGGGACTGGATGGGATGCAGAGGACCGCGGTTGTACTTGGGGGGATGGTATTGGTATCTGTTCGTTTGAGAAGCCATGTTAGGTATCTGTATTATAATATTGAAGCTTGTGTGTAAACAGTAGTATGATGATGTAAACACACCTGCTGCTAGGCAACCTCGCCTTCCTGTCGGCCGCACGCTTCCATGGCCTGAAATCCTTCTTGTCCTCTGCGCTGGGGATGGGAGCCTCCAATGCCGACTGTGTCTCAAGCTCGGCGAGGTCGGAGATGTTCTTGGAGGAGGGGGCAGCGGCGCCGGTGCCGGGAGCCTGTGTCGAGGCGCATCTTCGGAGAGCGAACTGAGTAGAGAAAGGCTGAAGGGCACGAGCGGATCTCGAGACCCCGCGGAGACTGGCCATGGTGAATTACTGGGGGAAGGAAAAAGAAACCGGCGTTCGGGCGGACGCTCTGCTTTCGGAATTGGCGACGGGGGGGTTGTCGTCGGTTCGGGGTGGAGGGTTGAGGAAGAAGGTCCGGCGCACGCGGGAAATCGGGGGCCGAAGGTCTGTCACAGAGGGCAGCGAGGTTCCTTCTCCGGCAAGCGCAAGGTCCTGGTCCCGCGTCGAGGCTCGAAGAGGTGCCGGTCCCCGTTCTGCCGCCCGCCGGAATTTTTTTGGAGCCTCTGCGGGCCCAAGAACCGGGGCCAATGCTTGGCAGCACTGGCCACGGCGGGATGGGCTCGGGTTAGGGTTGTAGGTGCGTGACCCCTGAGATCGTTCCTGGACCCCTGAATTGCATCTGATGTGGTTGTGGAACTGTCAACACCTGGGGATCAGCCATTGTGGCTTCGAGGCATGAACACGGAAGCATACTTCATCCAATTGGAGCGACATGAATGATTAGATTAGGAGATGACTGTGTATGCGTACGCTGCCTTTGCTCTAACTATCCTCCAAACCGCCAACTAATTACACCCTTCCCGCGCGTACCTTGTTCACATGTCTAACAAGAAGAAGCGGTCATGTAACGAGGAAAAAGGAAAAAAACCAAAAAAAACCGAATGTCTCAGAAGCATCATCACCATCCTGGACCACGTCCCCATCTTCTCTCAGCTCTTTTCCACCCGGAGCTACTTCTATTTACTTGTCCCACGCCTCCTTCACCATCCCAACTCAACTCATGTTCGGGCTCCTCATCTTTCCTCAACTTGGGCAACTTCACCTTCACCATCCCAACTCAACTCATGTTCGGGCTCCTCATCTTTCCTCAACTTGGGCAACTTCACCATTCCCCCATCCATCCTTTTTGTACTCCTCCTAATAGGGAGAGTAGTCCCGGCCGGCTGAATATTATAAACCAACAACTTCGACCCACCGCCACAGAACTCCGTCTTATCACCCACACAGAACGACCTCTTGCACTCATACAGCTCCCCTGCCGCCTGCGCCCCGTCTGCCAGCGAATTGCTGCAGTAACACTCCTTAGCAAACTCCACGCCAAAGAGGCTGTAGCCCCTCGTCTGGCAGCGTTCATGGCACATCTCGACCGTCATGCTCGTGCTGTTGGCGTAAGAGTGCGCTTTGAGGACACGAGCGGCGGCGCTGTCATTGAAGCAACCCTGAGGAGTCGCTATGCGTCCGTTGAAGACGGACGGGTTGACGAGGCGGGGCGTCACGTAGTTAGTTTGTCTGAAGACGTCCAGACGAGCACGGCCACCGCAGCGTGTAGATGGGTCGCCGGCGCAGGTGAGATTGCAACCAGTCTGGCCGAGGTTGTAGCCAGGCTTGATCTTGAGGCCGCAGTAGCATTGAGATTGGAACTCAAGGCCGGCGAGAGGGTAGTTTGCCTGGGCGCAGAAGTCAAGGCATTTTGAATGGTCATGCCGGCACTGTCGTACAGGTAGGTGCCATTTAGCGCGCGAGCGGTAGGCTGAGCAACATTGGAGTCGCTGGCACATCCTTGGTAGTCCCAGTTCACAACAGTAGGAATTGTGGGGAGAACAGGCCCGGTATTCGTAGTAGTAGTGGCGGCAGCCGTGGTAGTGGTGGCTGGAGCTGGAGCCGTGGTAGTGACAACCGCGGCATCTGTGGTAGTTGTGCCAGCAACAGGAGGAGCGGAGGTAACGGCAGCTGCAGTGGTAGTTGTGCCAGCCGCAGGAGGAGTAGTGGATGAGCTGGATCCTGGAGCAACGCTTGGAGCGACACTTGCTGAGTTCGTAGGAGCAATGCTTGGACTATCCGTGGGAGCAACACTCACACTCGGAGCTACGCTGGCACTGTTCGTGGCAGCGGCACTCACAGAGTTTGTAGGAGCGACGCTCACACTGGGAGCAACGCTGGCACTCGGAGCCACGCTTGCGCTTGGAACAACACTTCCAGAGGGAGCTATACTAGCGCTGGAAGCAACGCTCACGCTGTTTGTAGGAGCAACACTTTCAGTAGGAGCAACACTGGCCGAGGGATCAACGCTGGCACTGGGAGCAACGCTGGCCGAGGGAGCAACACTGGGAGCAACACTGGGAGCAACGCTGGGATCAACGCTGACAGAAGCAGTGCCCGAGACTGCGGTCGAAGCCGCGCCGGAGGCAGCACCCGAGCCGGAACCAGAAGCGACAACTGAGGCAGCGGAAGTACCAGAAGCAGCAGAAGTGACAACGGCAGAGGCAGCTCCAGAACTGGCCGCCGAGGTAGCAGAAGTAGCAGCTGAGCCAGTGTCACCACCAGAAGCAGTCGTTGGGCTAGCAGCACTTGAACCGGTGACAGAGGCAGTGGCAGAGCCGGTAGCAGAACCAGTAGCGGTCGAACCAGTTACGCCAGCAGGATCAGCAACACTCATCGTGCTCGTCGTCGCAGCAGCGCTTGTGGCAGTCGAGCTAGGAGCCACAGAAACGAGCTGAGCTCCCCAGACAGCCTGGTTATTGACACCACGTCCGACCGACTTCTTCATGTAGCACGGAGCCTGGATACCAGTACCACCGGGCACGTACGCGAAAGCCACGCATTGATCAGTGGTGGAGCACTTCTCGGCACACAAGGCATAGCTGTCGACGAAGGCGAGTCCCAGATCGCCGGCTTCGTGGTCGGTGAAGCACTCGAGGAGGAAGGCCTTGCCGTCGAGGGAGAGGTATGTGGTGCCGTTATTGTCGGGGCATTTGACGGAGACGGTGGGTGTGGTTGGGGCGGCTGAGGTTGTGGTAGTTGCCGAAGCGGAAATGGAAGCGGAAGCGGAGGCAGTACCGGAAGCGGTACCGGAGGCGGCCCCAGATGCCGTGGCTGATTGGGTAGCCGAGCCGGAGGCAGTGACTGAGCTGGAGGTGCCGTTGGGATTCAGCTGGTACATGGAGAGGCCATTGCTACCACCGCAGATTTGCTGCTGATTGCCATTGCAAAGCATGTTGCAGCGGCCATCGGTGACCAGAGCAGCTCCGTTGAGGAGCTCATTGCCACAGAAGCATTCAGCCGAATACTCGGTACCGAAGTACTTGTATCCGGCGCAGTACGTAGCGCAGTCATTGAGGTTCATGACGTTGGACTGAGTATTCTTTCCCTGGAGAGAACGGGAGGCAACAGCATCGTTATAGCAACCCAAGGACACGTATTGACCGATAGACCGTGGGTTTCCAGGAGTGCCGGAAGCGACTGCAGAGGAGGTTGTGGAAGAGGCAGAAACAGTAGCGGAAGTGGTTCCGGATGCTGTCCCAGATGAAGTTGTCACACCCGATGATGGGTTGCCAATGACGGTGCCCTTCTGCTTGTAAACCGAGATGCGGCCTGAACCACCGCATAGCTCAGTAGGATCGCCACCGCAAACGTAATTGCAGGTTTTCTCATCAGCAACGGTGCTACCGGTGTTGAGCTTGTTACCGCAATAGCATTCAACACCCCACTCAACACCGAAGAAGGAGAAGCCAGCACAAGCTGCGGCGCAGCTCTCAACCGTGTTGGTGCTGGACTGTCCGACAATCCGATCATTCAGGGCTCGGGTAGCAGGAGAAGCAGAATTGTCGGTACGGCAACCAGCATACTCCCAGTTACCAACAACTTCCTTGTTCGCGGGAGGCCTGAAAGCGGGAGCGAGGGTGCCGTTCTCGGGGAAGTAGCCGGTAGTGTCATACCACATCATCATATAGCTGCCAACACCGCCGCAGAACTGCGACTTGTCACCTGGGCAAACGTAGGTGTTGCATAGGTAGTCGTCGACCTTCAGGCTTGCAGGAGGAATGCTCCGGCCGACCCAGCATTCATAGGTGTACTGAGTGCCAGCAAAGGCAGCTTTGTTAGTGATGGCGTACTGCTGGCACTTTCCATTGTCGTTATCTGCAGGGAACTGCGCCTGGGTGGTCTCCAGACGGTTGGCGTTACTGTCCTTGTAGCAGCCGAGATACTTGAAGCGGGCTGATCCATCTGGCAGTGTCGGCCCAACTTTGGTGGCGCGCAGGGTACCTATGAAGTTCACGACATGTACGCCGAAAGCAAGATCGTTAACGTTGAGTGTCCAGGCACCAGAGTAAACAATGGGGTCCGCGTTGAGAGGGGCAGCGCCAGGGGTGAAGAAGATAGTGGCACTCTCGGACTTTCCAGGCTTGATAACCATGCCTTCGAAGAGATCGCTGCTTGGGTTTTGAGCACCGAGAACAGCGCCCATAGGGGGCTTGGACTTGTCAATCATCAGATCTGAACCGCCCTTGTTCGTGAACCGAATGGTCACTTCTCTGGTGGTAAGGCCAGGTGATGTGCCCATGTCGATGTTGAAGGTGCATGTTTGGGTAGGATCATTGCAGAAAGGGATCGTTACCCAGCCGCCTTCGCTGGTGGAATGCTCAAGGAGAGCAATGGGCTGCGAGTTGGCAGATCCGGTCAAAACAGAGTAGGCCATGCCACCATTAGTGAAGATCGTGAATGTGGTAGAGAAGGAACCAAGCTTGGGAGCAAGGAAAGTCATGTGAATAATCACAGATGATCCAGCGGCGACACTAGAACCGAGCGCAGGGAGGTCCTCAGCAGTGAAGTAACCGTCGGCATCAAGCTTAGTGTGAGTCCCATCGATTGTGATGTTGGTGAACTTTGCAGTTGCCGAGTTAGGACCATCGGAGGTAAAAGCGTACCCCAGAATTTTCATAGGTCCTTTGCCCAAGTTCTGGATGACCACGGTGTTTTGCGATCCTCCTTCGGCAGCGGCAGAGCCAATGACAAGCGGCTGGAAATCGACCGCGTTGGGGTTGATGGCCGCAAACGGTCCATCTGTCACTGTGTTGCCTGTCACTGAAAGGGGCTGTTGGGTCGAATAACCTGTAACGGCATTGACTGTGTTGAGGGTGACGGAGCCGGACTGCACACCAGGCTGCATGCTTGGGGAGCTTGTGCTGCCAGAATCCAACGTATACCCGCTCAGATCAAATTTGATGGGGAAGGTAAAAGACTTTCCAGCAGTGACTCCAGTCTTAGGAAGGTCAGCTAGGGATACCTTGTACAAGGGATTGCCAGTTGTGATGTTGGTGATCGAGTTGACATTGATTTTGGTAGTACAAGTGACGTTGATCGTCTTTGATGTGCCGATGGGTACCTCTCCAAAGTTAAAGGGACCACCACAGTCAAAAGGCAACTTGACAGGGGACCCGAAAGCCAAAATCTGTCCGGTGTATGTGCTGGTATAGTACCGGCCATCGCCAAAAACGGGGCGCTGGAACTTGGACAAGACTGGAGTAGCGGGAAGAGGAATCTTGACAAGTTGCCCGTTCCGTGGCACCGCATGGTAAGCGCGAATGCCGTTGTCGGGATCACTCATCCAGAGAATGCCTGTTCCTGGTTGGCCGTTGAGAGTGGTGATGGTTGCGGAGCCGGTACCGACTCTGCCAGCGGACTTGTCAGGGGTTGAACCAGCCACACTGAAAGCCGGCTTTCCGCTTGAGTCGTAACCAAGAGCATAGGCGTAAGTTGGAGCACCAACGGGAGTGATATACATGTAACCACCTTCCAAAGGATACGCGCCAACATTTCCAAACATGGCTGTGCCCTGCGGAGGAGTGATAGTCTGGATGATGGCATCGCCGCCACCGGCACCCATCTTGTATCCTCCGAGGTTGTCGGCATTGCAGATATAGGCTTGGCCGTTCTTGCCTGCTGTTACCGCAAGCTGCTTGACACCACCGCCTCCGAATGGCAAGATGGAAACACCACCACCGCCCAAGTCACGATCAGCAGCATCGATTGCCTGGTAAGTGTATGGTTCGAAGTAGTCTTGTTGTGTCACCTTTCCAGTGGCTGAATCGATGGCCATGTTCACAATGGCTTCTGAGAGGGTGTCAAGGTGAATTCTGCCGCTGGCGGCCAACTGTTGGTTCACCATGACTCCGTAGCCGTTTCCAGTAGCAAAGAAGAGACGGCTCGGGTTATCTGAGGCCAGAATGGCGCCACTCTGCCAGACACCGCAGCCACCACCGCCTCCTTCCCAGGTGCCATCTTGCTTGGGGGCACGGTCTCCACCAGCGGTGGCATAACCGGTGACAAATTCACCACTGGAGGCTCTCATGCCAACTACCCAGCCGGTGTAGTTGAAAAGATCGCAATGGCCACCAAAACCAGCATAAACCACACCATTGATGAGGTTCAGGGATGTGCGCTGAAGGAGACCACCACCGGTGAAGTAGCGGGTCTTGTCGTTATCGGCATACTTGCCTTCAATGCTCGTTGGGAAGCCAGGCCTCTCCTGCAGGGTCCATGCATCAATGGCATGGAAACGGTAGGCACCATTCTTCCAGCCCTTTGTGGTTGGATCGCTGTAGCCCTTGGCCCAGAAGTAGATCGTCTCTGTGTTGGGGTCAATAATGGGGGTGCCAGTGATACCGATCGTTCCGCTAATATCGTTGCAATTGCCCAAGTCAGAGACCATGAAAGGGGCTTCCGCAGGATCCTGCTCACTCAGGTCACGGCTGTTGTAAAGTGTGCCGTTCACCGCATCGAGAACGTAAATGCGATTTTGTTCTGAAAAGGCAATGACGGTTTGCTTGCCAGTTGCCTTTGGTGTATATACCAAGAGTTTTGAGTAGAATTGTTCAACCTGGTTGAGAGGGTTCTTTGGCGTTGTGAAGGACCAAATCTGGCCAAATGCACCACCTTCAATAGTTGCCGGATCCATGTTGTGATTTGGGAGATAACCGACAGCAGCCGAGTCTTTTACAAGTCGACCTGTTAGCATCCTGATTCTTTAATAACACACAGCCCGTAGGAATTGACTTACCGGCATCCATAATGGTATCTGTTGGATCCATTGCCCATGTTGCCGTGCAGAGCGCAAGACTCACAAACGAGCGTAAGAGACCTAGTGGCCTCATCTTAGCGAACGTATATTACAATAAGTGTGTCGAGTAAGTCATATAACATATGAGTAAAGACTGTTAGTGAGGGTATATCCAAAAAGTTACCCCGAAGAAAAAGTGCATATAACAAGAAAACGATTGACTACCACATGGGGCGGGTGAGTGACGAAATCTGAAGTGATGCCGAGGGACCGAGGAGTCCGAGGAGCTGTCCAAGTCAACCGGAATCGGCTCTTGGGGAGCAAGAGACACGAAGTCGTCGAGTGCGGATCGGGGTGTCGACAAAGAAGTTGAGGATGAGCGAGATCCTTAGGTCAGGAGGGAATGGGAAAGACAATCGCATATAGCTGGATTCTGTCTCAGATGGAGGGGTCCGCCTAGAGATCTCTGTGATCTGGGACCGGACGGGCGCTACCGAAAGGGGCTTACGGCGATTCCATTCCAACGGGACTCCAATGGCCTTGACGGGGTCTCAACGCCGGTATAGGGCATTGATCGTCCCATTGATGGTCAGCCCGACTGAACAGTTTGGTGAATGTCGGCCTTGGCAGCTGGCCAATACATGCCCTTTCCTCCACCTTGAATACCCTCTTCAGGCTGTCTTTAGCCACAGTCCGAGCCAGTCTTCAGCCCGGAATGGGACTTGTTGCACTTGCTGGAATGGGCCCAGCCGGTCTGTCGGCACTCTCGCCTCGTGCGCTTGAGACCTTTTCTGTGTTCTCTGGGTCATCTCTGGGAGAGGCATCTCAGCCAGCCAAAGGAAGGGGGTGGCGGCCGTGGCTTGGAGGACCTGGACTGTTTGGGAGCGAGGAAGAATCCAGAACTTGCACCGTCATTACCACAAGTCGAGGTGTGCCTGTGGTGGACAATCTGGGCAGAGCAGCCACTCACCTTGGGACAGCCACATCAACATGTTAATCAGCAAACACTCGTGACAGTAGCCAACTCGGCGTTTGCTCATCCCCCAAACTATCGGCGGGAAGGCAAATTGGGTTCTTGATATGGCATCCTCTCCCACTTTCCCTTGGGCTGGGGCTCAGCTGAAGGACATTTTGCCCACTTTTGAGTCCTGGTTTTTTCATGGGTTCACCTCATGGACGATGTGATAGCCAGACTGGAGATGACCAGAGAGACGGGACTCCGAGCATTGGGCGGGTGCGTTAGCTGATGCCTCGGAACCCGACACCTCAGTCAAGAGCCCCAAACGAGCCACGATAGGGCGTAGGATACCGTGTGTGCAAGAGAGCCGAGCGCTTGCTTTCTGGTGATGGTGTATCGCTTCTGTTTGGTGTTATCGCTTCAGGTCGTTGTGTGGCTGACGTGTTTACGTGATGAGTCTCATTCAGCGCCCGGATGTTGACTGGTCTGGGGATAGTCTGACAGTGGCAACCCGGCTGAATGAAGCGGTCTAAGCGAACAGAGTTTTTACTACTGCCGGACTCAGCCAGCTTGTCAGTCAATGGAAGTGACGACCGTGAAGACGGAAGGACCATGACAAGGGAGGAGCAGTGGACGTGACTGCCAAGACTGGAGGTTGAATGTGGAGGCGAGACCCGCAATGTACCCCGGTTCAAGCTAGCGTGGTTTGGGAGAGTCTGTCCTATCAGAGCCTTAGGAAAGAGCAGGGACAGGGCATAATACTTGCACAAAGTACCGGTACTTTTGTGCTTCGTCACAGCACCCAGATGTCTTCTCCATTTCTTTCCTGGACCCTTGTCTTGTATCTCGACTTTCTCGCTTTCCACAACATGTCACCACCGACAGGACTCACCACCACTTCCCTCCCACCCAACGGCAAGCGACTTAACGAACATCTTATCATCAACCACAAACTGATGTGTGTCGGTTCTGTGTTATCATCCGCCTATTTTCGTTCCATTTCAGCCTCAACGTACCAGTCACACAAACATGACTGGACCGTTTGTCGGGTGCGTGGCGCGTGGCGTCCCTTGCTTCATTTTACTCTGCAGCACATTTCCACCTTTTCAATGGGTCTCTTCTGGCTTTCTTCTCTTCCAATGCCCAGCCCGTATCCCCGACCGTCGCCCGCTGGCACTGCGAGAAGCCGGCCTCACAGAAAACAAAAACAGCAAGTAAGCGGCAACAAAGGCCGCGCGGGAGTTTAACCTTTCGCATCCGCGTTCGCTTAACAACTCCTGGTTGAGTAGCCGGTCTTTCTGGTCAAACGCATTTTCCTCGCATTGTGCAAGTCATGGCGAAGTCTGCAGGCGTGCGGCGCAAGGCGTCAGTACGAACGAGAAAGCAAAGGCGCTGCTCGCTCCAGAGGAGAGGAAGACCTAGAAGTTCGTTCCTGCATTAGCTCTCTAACTGTTGACACCCATCATAGCCATTCGCAACCCAACTTCTCCCCCCTTTTCAATCCGTTCATCGAGCCGCTTTCTTTCCTTTTCTGCATTGTCGCTCATTTCCATGTGTTTTGAGGCTGAGGACTTGAGACGATACTCGACTGCCTCTGGTGAAGTTCAAGAGTTAGTTACTAAGTGGTTCTGACTGGAGTCTGAACTATCAGTGTAATATCCCAACTGCTGTGATAATGGTTTCTAGAGCGGCAATGGGGAGATTAAGCGTTTGTCGTGGTGCTGCAATGGTGGAAAAAGAATGCTAACTACTTTAATTGGTTATACCCCCCCCCCATATTCTTCACTCGCATGCTTTCCAGACGCAGAAAATGTCTCTCTGGCAATCCTATTCTGGGCACAATCGACAAAGTTTGTCGATCATCCGGGGAAATGACATGGGTGGCATTGTTGCGCATTGAAACCAACAACATACCTGAAGATCGGTTTACCAAATACCTTACCGCGGGTTCGCGTGTAAGGGCGCTGAATGATGAAAGAAATGTTGAGTGATCTCGGGGTGCAAGGGGACCCCGATCGGTGACATGCTGCAGCCGCACGTCTTGGGTAATCGCGACGACGATCCGGATCCTTCCGAGAAGACATCACCAACTTCACATTTAAACTCTTCCCTATGGTAAAGTACGTCATGACGGATGGAACGCATTTGAATTTGTTGAGGGAATGATGTTGAAAGTCAATTCATGATTATTGCACGTGGTCAAGCGACTTCAAGAAATTGGCATCCTGGTACCATTAGGAGATGCCACTCTGGAATGATCATTGACTCCAGCTGTATTGAATGGTGTCAGAGGCATGATGAAAACACCTAACTCCTCAAAGGGGGGTTGATCGTAGTTACCCAGAGTCAAGCGACTCCAAAATCTGCGCCTTTGTGTTATGCTATGTTTAGACTCCAGCCGTTTACTGACAATTCCAGAAAGTGTAAATCACGATGATATAAAATATCATAAGAAAGATCAACCATGACGACAACGACTGGATGTATTAATAACTAACTATTAAAGCACAAAAACCAAACCAAAGATTATCGACAGTTCCCACAGCTAACCAAGCATTAATGATTGTAATAGACGCAGGAACATCACTCATTCGTTTACCCATCCAATCTTTGCCAATCGTCTATTCATCCTCTCATACCTTTCTTTCAAGGCACAAGGCCCCATCGAGACAGAAGTGGTCGTGGCGGCGGTGGTCTTGATGACCGCGTCCTACTCACTCACTTGGAAACAAAGTTTCCAGGGAGATAGTAGCCGAAGCTGCTGTCGATGGTCCAGACGTTGCCAGAGTTATCCTTCTGGCCAGTGTTCTTGGCGTAGCTGACACCATAGGGGACACCGTAATACGCGCAAGTGAAGACGCCGTCCTTGCCGTTCTTGTACATGATGTAGGCGTTGAAGAAGACGCAGGCCTGGCCCTTGTTGGTGTTGTGCAGCGCGTTGTACTCAGTCTGGGCCTTGCAGCTGGCGGCGCAGAGCTCAGGGGCAAAGGGGACGTTGGTGCCGAAGGTCTGGGAGCGGAGGAAGCCGTGGTCGATGACGGGCGCCGGAGCGTTGATGGCGGCTTTGCCAAAGGTGATGGGGCCCTGGAAGCCGTCGACCGAAGGGCCAGCGGACTTGGTGAAGGCCGTGGAGCCGGCGTAGACAACTTTGAAAGCCTTGCCCTGGAACTGGTAGGCAGGCGATTTGGCCGAGCTGGCGACGAGCGGCATGCCATAGAAGGCGCACTTGATCAAAGTGGCCGAGGCGGCGTCGGCATTGCCAGGGCAGCCGAGCGCCGCGTCAGGCACCTGGGTAGCCTTGCTGATCTCGAGCGGCACGCGCTCATAGTAGATGTTGAAAGAGGTGCAGCCAGCGGTGGTGTCGCAGATGGCGGCGCACTTCTTGGTGTCGTACCCGGTCAGCTTGGAGCTGGTGTAGGTGATGTACGACTTGTCCTGGCCAAGGACCTTGAGGTCGACAAAGTTGGGCACGACCGCGTAGCCGGAAGGGACGTTGGCTGCCTTGGTAGCGTCAATGGCAGCAGCAGAGAAGCCCGCAAAGCCGGTGAAGGCCTCGGGGGTGTCAGGGAAGGCGACCTGCGGGCCGTTGTAAGTGCGGGAAATGCACGAGGTGGCCGGGGCGTCGGCACGGGCAACGTTGGTGCTACGCTTCAGGTTGACAGTGATGACCTCGGGAGGAGCGTCAGTGGAGGCCTGAGCCTCAGCAGGGGGAGTGTCGACGATGGCGGCAGTGATGTCCGCAACCACGGCATCGGCGTCGAAGCTCTCAACGATCTGGGGAACGGCGTCGCCGACGGGAGGAGAGTCCGTGGAGTCGGCACCAGCCGCCACGGACTCATCATAGCTGTCAATGGGCAGGTCCTGGCGCTTCTGGTGGAGGGGCGAGGCTGAGACGAGGCCCAGGAGGAGGGAGGAGAGGATGATGTTCTTGCGAACCATCTTGAAAATAGCCAAGTAAGTTGGAGGAGGAGGAGGAGGCAAGATGTGCTCAAGAAGGATAGGTGCCTTTGTGGATTGTGATGAGGCTGCTTGAAGGCTTGACTGGATTGCTTTTTAACTTTCGGTCGGAAGGTTGGGAGAGATGGAAGATATTATACTCTGAGGAGGACTATAGGAAAGAAGGGAAGATGTCACCAAAGTCCAACACAACACAGCACAAAGTTCGATCACGATGACTGGATTCAGAGAGAGCCGCCCGCCAGCCATCCAAACGCCATCAAACGCGGCTGAGTAAATGAGACCGAGTGACTGAGTGGTGTAAGTCAGTCCGGCGGATCGAATACGGAGGTCTCGACCGAGCCGACCAATTCGGAGCCTTGAGTGGCTTACGGCTCATCCATCGACTCGGTTCGGCAGTGTCTACCCCCAAGAGAAAAGGAAAGGAAAGAGAGTGATTGAGAGAAGGCGGCCGTCGTCTAGTCCGGAAAGGGATTCGTGCTGGTTTTGGCGCTATCGTTGGGCTGGACCTGCCTTTGTGGAAATGACCAGCCACATACCACCACCTCACAATTCCTATGCATTTCCACATTGCAAAAAAGCCTATAGTCCCACAAAAGATGGTGAATTGGGGTAGCTGCCCGTGAAGAAGGCGCCCATGGCATAAGCTAGAGAACACCTTGAGCTCGATCGAGCCTAGGCGAAGATGCCCAAAGCGAATTTTGCAACTTCGTTGGCTTCACATTTCACACCGTAGATGCCGGGGTAGCCGGCAAGGATCGTGTACAAGGTTGAACTCTTCACGCCTCACAATGTGAACAGGCTATTGGTAGAAAAACGTGGTGGGCTTGAGCTGTCAACTCGTGAGGCTTGAGGGCGGTGATGGTGAGGATGGCGTCGGTAAGGCAGATGGGCATGAGATTATATGACATGGCAGTCCTCTGGCTGGCTGATGGCTGGCTTGGACATCATGGAACATCGTGTTGTTGACAGCTCATGGAAAACAGACACCATTTCCATAGTCAATATCATGCATATCAGGGAGTAAGGGAGAGAAGGACTAGTGTCCAGCACACAACACACCAGTTGACGCCCAATATCTGCCATGGATGATATCTCAGACAGGGAGCTCTCCCAATGGGAATGGAAGTGTTCTTTCTCGCGTGGTAAGCTAGGCTTTCAGCCCTCGCTTGTTGCTATTTTGGATGAATCACTCGACACGTTCTGCTCATGCGGGTCTCCGATAGATAATTCTTCGCTCATTTTTTGTTTTGCTCTCTCGCTTGAGGTTCTAGGTTCCCCAGAGTCTAGCTTGGGTCCGTGGGGTGAGTATTGGTAGTGGAATGGAGGCAAGAGAGTTTGAAAGTTTCAGAGACATATTCCAATCGAGACCGAGGCAGGGGGTAACGGATAGACTTCCGAGGATGGACTGGAGCGCTTGATGCTTCACTCCAATGGAATGTTGAATACGGCTAATGGGCTTCCATGAGAGGAGCTTAGGGTATCTTACTGCTGAAAGCTGGGAGGCAAATACAAGGCAAAGACATGGCTATGGTAGACTACATACCTCGCTGCTCGCTTAGCTTGGAGCTTCTGACTGGCTTCGCACTGTAGTTGAGCTACTAGATGATAATAGCCATGGTGATATTGCCATGCGCGGCCCTCTGAGAAGGCAGAGAAAGAGAAGGTGGCTCGTATGGGACCCAATCCCAGTTGACGATCCGAATGTCGATATGTCGATATCAAGCCACTGCAATGTGAAAGAAGAAGAAGACATGATTTGATTCTGTGAATCGGTGAGACTACCTCTAATCAATGTGAACAGAAGATTACACAAAGCGAAAATGATGAATTTTCTAGTGGTCGTTTTCAGAATATGGAAGTAGTCCCTGACGATCTGGAAAGAGCCGCCCGTTCATTCATACAACTGCGGTAGCAAGTGTAATTGGCAGACCGCCTTCCAATTTGCTGTCAATGCCGATAGGGAAAGCGTCAATGTCGGTCCTGTCATCAAAAGAAAGCCGGCGCTTTCATGCCCAGTTAAGGGGCATCAAATGGAAGGTACGATTGATGTGTTGCTGGATGTGCCTGCCGTGTGAATGATAGAAAGTGGTGAGTGGTGACTGCACATAAGTGGTCATGTAGCTGGCACCTGCATAACCTCGATCGAATGAGTTCGATCAATGCCACCACACCAGAATAACGATCAAACTCACCGTTCGCATAAAACATTGAACCGACCGCAATGGCAAAAGAGAAGAAGTGAGACGATTCCCCACATCAAACATAACTGTGACTTGCAGCAGAAAAGGTGAGTGTATCGGTACGAATGGTCGCTGTCGTGGTGTCGCAGATGTACCTTGACGTGTGGTTCAGCTGTTGTCGTCAACGCCACAAAAAACCACCGCAAAGCCAAAGCGCGCGTCCGGCGTTTTTGTTTGTTCGCTACAACCACTCTCAGATTTTGTGCCAACCACCTTTGCCAATTCTGGATCAATTCACACCGTGGATTAACTACATACGGTACGGAAGACGGCAGGAAAAATGGACGGAGAAAGTTCCCAAGTGCGGGATTGCTTGCTAATTGCGTGAGTGGTATCCCGTAGCGCATCTCCCGTTCGTGTGGTCAGTCGCTTTAACCAACAGAAAGAATGCAAATCTATACGACCCAGCTTTTGGAGTTCCCGACTTAATAGATTGATGATCAACCACGGGTCTTGTCTGGGTCGACTTGGCCGATATTCGCACCTCTATGGGCGGCGGCCTGGCTGAGCCTTCGGAACAGGCAATGTTTGGCTCGAACCCGACCCTGGACACTCAGCGTGGGGCATTTTGTGCGGGAGAACATGGCTTCCCATGGCAACATTGACAGCCCAGGCCCAGGGCACTGGCATTGGGCCGGCTAAGCTTGCAAAACCAATGCCTTTTCTTCGGGTTAACTTCTACGGTTGTCCAAGGAGAGGCGACGTTGTGTCTATCAGCCGTTATCAGTGGTATCGCCCTGGCTGTTAGAGGCTGAGGAGAAGCAACAACAGTCTACACATCCCGCGTCATCTATCTTCACCATAGATCATAGGGAGAACTTGTGCTACAACGGCTACAAGTAAAACTTCATCATTGTCCTCCTTCCCCTTCTTCCTCGGACTTGAGGTTCTATCCTGCATACCTCGGTCACGGTGTTCTATTGACTATTTTTCTTTCCTCTTGTTTGTTTTGAGGTCTATCGATACAACTCTATCTCGAGTTGAGATTCAACCCGCATTCAAAATGTCCAACGACCTCACCGCCAAAATCATATCCTCCTACGGAAACCGGGACCAACACAGCACCGGTCCAGGAGGATTAGATGTCAACAGCGCCGCCACCGGATGGGACTCAAGTAGACCCGGATCGATATATACTTCCTCGAGACAGTCGGCGGCAACACTACCGAGGGCGGCAAAGAGAAAGTTCAAGAGCTACAGGCTCCGAGGAGAGTACGAGAAGCCATGGCTTGCTGACCCGGCCATGAAGAAGACCAGGTGGAACGACTGGATCGTGATTGCCTGGTGCTTGGTTGGGTTGGCGGGTGCCGGTGTCATCTGCTTTATGGGCATCAGACAATACCAGACTGGGCCATTTTGTCTGGTGTTTGAAGATGACTTTAAGACACTAGACACGAGCGTGTGGACGCACATGGTGACGGTATGTTCGAGTTCCCTGTTGTTCACTTCCCCACAACACCATCCTAACTTGATTGCTATAGCTCGATGGATTTGGAACAGGGTCCTTCGACTGGACCACTACCGATCCCAAGAACTCGTACATCGACGGGGAAGGACTTCATATTGTCCCGACTCTTACGAATGAGACTACAGACATTACCAATGACCAGCTCTTTGCCAACTACACGCTCGATCTGAGGAAAGATAAGTCTTGCACGGGCACAACCAATGCCTCTTGCATGGCAATGTCTGATCCGAAGACGGGTGCCATGATCCCGCCCGTTCGCTCTGCTCGCTTGGTCACCAAGGACACCAAGACACTCCGATACGGTCGTGTCGAGGTTGTAGCAAAGCTCCCCAAGGGAGACTGGTTGTGGCCCGCCATTTGTAAGCTTTTTACCCCATGACATTTTCCGTTATATCGTCACTAACAGCAATTCAAGGGATGATGCCACAAGACTCCACCTACGGCGTCTGGCCCCGCTCCGGTGAAATCGACATCATGGAATCGCGCGGCAACGGATACGACTACGAAACCGGCGGCCGAGACCTCTACTACGGCTCCCTGCACTGGGGCCCCTCGACACAAACAGACGCCTACTGGCGCACGACCGCGGCCAAGCGTCTCAAGCGCGGCGATTTTTCGGAATCCTTCCACACGTTCGGCCTCGAGTGGGACGAGAAGTACATCTACTTTTACCTCAACAACCGCCTGACCCAAATCATGCACGTTGGGTTTAATCAGAAGGAAGACCTCTGGAAGAAGGGCGAGTTTGCCCAGATGAAGGAGAATGATACCCTCTTTGAAAATCCCTGGGCGGGAAGTGATTCACAGACAGGCAATGCGCCGTTTGATCAGCCATTTTATTTGATTTTGAATGTGGCTGTGGGGAGCAAAATTGGGTGGTTTCCGTAAGTTGCCCTCTTCTTCTGCAGGGTCTGTTGAACTCTTACAAGAAACAGTTGAGCTAACATATGATGATGAACAGTGATAACAAGGGAAACAAACCCTGGCTTGACTCGGCCACCAACTCCCAGTGGACGTTCTGGTCGGCGGCTGATCAGTGGCTGCCCACTTGGGGAGAGGGCGATCAGCGTGGTATGACGGTGAAGTCGGTTAGGATGTGGAAGAAGGGTGCTTGCTAGAACACATGTTGACATGAACTCTTTTCTTTCCTATTCCTAGACTGTTTCGTGCTGTAATACCTAGGCTAATGTGTGATGTTTGTAATGGAGCGAAGATAGGATCAACGGGAGGTTGGATTGGATGGATGGAGTATTTTGGTCCGGCAGTCTATGTAGGTTCTGAACATTTCAGAGAGCATTAAAAGCATCACAAATGTCACGTCAAATACGACGAGACAGAGTACCAGAAGCAGAAAACCCGCATGTGGGATTATGGACCATTGAACGTGAGTGTATGCCCGATAATAACTTACCTACCTCTATCGAGTACCATCTACCGCCAACTTGGAGTTCACCTTAAATGGCGAAGGGAAAGCGGGCACCTGGCAACAAGAAGAAGGCAGGAAGGAACACCACACGAGATCAGAGAGCTCTTCTACAACGGAAACCACGCCGCGTGGAACCGGATCTTTCCTGGCCGTGACTGCCTACTGTAAGTTCATCTCAAGTGAACTGAAGGCACCACTGCAACCTGCCTGCCCCTGGCAACAAGGCAGGAGCGAGATCTACTTGAACAAGAAGTGACCGCCGAACCTTCCAAAAGCACACTGGGACCAGATTTGCTGTCCATCTGCCGGCACTTGCCAGTTTAGTTGGATGTTTGTACCAGGCTTGAACAGTTCATCGGAATGGGCTGCTCGACTACTGAGCGGTAGTTGTTTTCTTGTGACACTATTCGGGATTACGGCGAGATGATGCATCCGACCACGTACGACGAGTCTTTCCTTTTTCTTGTTGGACACTTTGTTCAAGATGTATGTATCCTGGTGTTCTGTGTAAATTTCCATATAAACACCCAATTGATTCGCTCAATCTGAGTGTCCGTCATATCTTGTTCATCGTTTTCTGTTTTCTTCCATCTTATGCTATCAAGGTGGGGTTGCCCCTTTTTTTTCCATTGACCATATGGTTCGCGATGCAGCTTTGTACGAGTGTCATTCGTCAAGGAACATTGAGTTCACTATCAACCATATACACTTGAACAAAGAAACCCCCTTTTCCATTGACCAAATATATCACAGAAGGATCTTTTTACGATCACTACTCGTCAACACTCGAATCATAATAATCATAATCGACCATAGATGCCTCAGTCAATTGACGCCGACACCAGATTTTGCTTGCAGCAACCGGAATATTCTCAGTCCGACCCCATCATTGATCGAAACTCCCACGGGCGTTACTCCTTCATCACAGGCAAAATGGACGAATTGCCAAAGAGCACACACACACCTTTTGCAGCCAATAAAACTTCACCTCCCCTCAATCGGTGCCGCGGTTCGAAAGCCACCCCCCAATCCCCAATCCCTCACTTCTCTTTCACCTCTCAGCTTGCGATCTAGGTGGACGCCACGCGGTTCGGCGGTCACTACGGCTCGACCATTCGACAATTATGGCGCCCAATCGCACTTTCAACACAGCATACAGCCTCTTGAACGGTGAGCGGAACGTGTAGATCCACGCCGACGGTCCGTTCATGGTCGGATCTTCTGTTTGTCCTTACAACCAGTCACTCCTGTGTAACCGGTGATCTGTTGCATCCAGGCTCGAACATGTTGGTTTTGTGAGATGAGGTTGACATCTTCACATATCCAGTGATCATTGTCGGTTCCAATACCGGCACTTCAATGGTACCGTCGTCCATTATCTCACAGAGGATTCTGATATTGACAGGGGAGGGGGGGGGCATCTGAGTTGGAGAGGTCCAGACTCACAGTGATTCTTCCCAGGCTGAAATCGCAATCTCCCCACTGTGAGGCACTCACGACAACAGACGACAAAAAAAGAAAAACTCCCTGATATCGGGTGACAAATCCCTCCTCATCACAGCCTCTGTCTTGTCGTCAGCCCTTTCTGTTTGCGAAAAGTCACCCGAAGACGTTGGGAAAGTCTCCGGGGGTCATCTTCAACGTTAGCACATCTTCAGCTAGCAACCAGGGTCCTCAAAAGCTTGTGTGGCTTAAGGTTTCGACTAATAGGTGTTAGCGCGAGATGCAATCCACTGTAACCCCACTTCTTGTTCGCGAAGTCTGCCATTTCTAGATTGGATTGGTGCAATTGGACATGCTGTGGAGGACGTACCGGTACTTGTTCCAAAAAGACCCACTCTGAGAATGTCTCGATACATGCAACAGTGGGGACAGTGCTATCAAAGTATCTCTACTCAACGACACTTCACCTTTCCCTCTTTCCCTACATTGCAAGTATCACCATGAACCGCCTTGACAGCACCATCATCACCCACACAGCGCTTCGAAGACCTCAAACACGGCACGGCTTGACACAGGAACGAGAATAGGCGTGCATCATTTTAAACTGCAACACGAGAGCGGCTCTTGCGGCTGTCAAATGTCGACATTCTCTGGATGGAAGCCTTTGCCGGATTCCGAAAGCGAGAAAAGAGAACAACAACAATGGGACAAACAGACAGATACACCGAAAAATATGCAAACACTGATGGAATATCACGGTAACACACATAACCCATCATGTTTGTGTTTGTAAATACATACAACAACAACACGATCATGCAGCTGCACGCTTCTAAAATTGGCTAGACCCACAAGAATAGGTAGTGTTTGTTCTCCGGCATCCTCAGCATTGACTCAACAGCATGTTCGAAGCTGTACTGTCTTCCACTCACTTGGGTCGGGTATCACTCCCCCCTGCTCTTAGGGGTCTGGATGCTCGCGAGGCCTCAAACCAGGCATTTCACAAGAGCTCTCAACGACCTGAGAACTAGCTCGGGATAACTAGAAAAGCTCGGAAGATAAAATCACATCGGTGCCCTCCAACCACCAAGAACAGCACTCGATAAGCGAACTACATCTCAGGCATCCCAGATGGAGATCGGCTATGAGATCTACCACTAGGGCAGGCCAGGGACCTGCAGGGACCGGTTCTCGCCATCTCGTGGTTCTTGAACATTATTCGTCGGTTTGCGAGTGGAGGAGATATTCCGAAAAAGTTGACAGGCCACCATCATTCAGAGTGACAGAACCCCTGGGGTACATATCATATGGGAACACAAAAGTACTCTGACAACAGTACCAATCGTGCGTGCGGACATCACCATGTTCCCGCTGTTCCGGATGCTCCCTTGTCCTCCCTCCTCTCCCAGACTCACTCTTCCGTTAAGCGGTGCAAGGTTACTCAGCACTGATTCTCCAAGCCACGACGGGTAGAAACATGCCTTCTTAATCCCATTTGGGAATTCAATTTGATAACTCGCTTCTTGACGCGGCTCTACAACACTCTAGAGCACGCTCCTTACCCCTGATGATCTACCCTCCACCACGACGGCATGGCGGCAACACTCCAAGCCAGTAAGAGCATATCGAGACAGAAATTGTGCAAATATTCAACTTCCCAGCAAACTTTCTACAACCGGGATAGCATACGGGATTCGTCGGTAGCTGGAAGAAAAACAAACGCTTGAACGAAAGAGGCGTTTGTTGCCATGTGTTGTCCGTTGTCAAGTTGTCTAGCCTGTCCTTTTGCCCCTGTTATCGTCGCTTGAACACGCGAGGCCAGCTTCCAGCCCATTTCCCCACGAGCAAAGCCACAAGATATTAGCAATAATGGGACGAACAACACAAACCATGCCCCTCTCCTCGATGTCACGCCATGAGGCGCTAACGGAGCAAAAGAGACCTTGAAACCCGAATCGTGTAGGCGGCTTCGTGCCTACGCCAGCCTCGCAGCAGCATGTGGGAAGATACGGAGGTGCTTTGAGATAAAGCAAAGGAAAAAGGGAGTCCTTACACAACATTCCTGTCGGCACCTCATATCCGCTCCCTCGGGATGGAAGCTTTGGATGGTTATCTCAAAGAAGCTGCAAGCAAGGAGCTTTTGCTACATTCGACTTGACAGCGGTTCCGCCAAGTGGGAACTCGAACGATATGCAGTTGCTCTCTGAACCCGAGCAGCTGGGTTCTGGACTCTAGTCTCGCATTCTACCGTCTTCCCGTGAAGCCCATAATGGATATTTGCAGAAAATCCATCACCATAGCTGTGCTCCCCTGGTCCATTGGCTGACATGGCAGGCTGGGCTGGATTCTCTTGGGATTCGACAGACAGCTGCCGAGAAGTCACCTACCTGAGGGCTGTAACGGCTACGGGACTTTTTCTGGACCGGCTGCCCTACCGCTGCCATGTTCGCTTTCCTACAACGCCGAGAAAACAAACCCCGGTCTCCTATCAAAAAGGCCTGGGGGCCATACGGGAGGGGATATCGTAAAGCGACATCGATACCTGATGATAGGGAATTGCCCCCTAGCAAACCGCCCAACCAAAAGTCAGCCAGCCCGTTATCACGGTTATTGAGCCAGACCAGCCGGTGGTGCATGGACAGAAGGCGATGCCGATGCCGCCGCCATGAGCGAAAACCCCCCGCTGCTATTTTCTTCTTTCGCTTGCTTCCATTTCGCCCTTCCCTCGTCGATATATCCTGACTTCACGCTGCTGTCCTCTGCCATCCCACTTCCACTCTTTAGGATAGCGGACTCGGAGGATTCTAATATTTCTTTACAATTATCATCGCTCTTACCTACTTTTGGGCATGTGCGAAAAAGACATCTTCAGCATCTCGGTCTAATAGAGTCTCTCTTTGGACTCGTACGCTCGTTCACTTGCTGGTCTAACACTCGATCGTCGTCATCTAGTCACGAGTTCATCATCATCATCATCATCTCATCGACACTCGTCACTGGTTCGACAAGGATATAATATCAGGATGGCAGGCTCACACAGCGGGGGAAAGGACTTCCCTCTACGACCTCTACCTCCTTCGAGGAATCCTTCCTCTACACCATCAGACCTCCCTTCACCTCTCAACTCACCACTACGATCCAACTTCCATCATGGACCCATCAGTGGTGTTGATACTCCCCCGAGTTCGGAACTCCAAGGCCCCGGGTCTTTCTACACTCAGAATGGGACAGGCAGTGCTCTGTCAGTGGCCTCGGATCAGACGGGGATGTCAACGCCGGTGACATATGCCGATGAGTTCAGGTTCAAGACAGTAAGTCATCCAATTGGGTTTGACATCAGAAGTCCAATTACTAACTTGGCCTACTACAGATGATCAAGTACCTCAGTAAGCAAATAGAAAAGGCCGGATGGGTGCCTCCCGAGAAGGAAAGGAAACCACCAAATGGTTACGGAGTACTATACAAGAAGTCACGGGGACAATATGTCACGTACCCCGAAGATCTGTCACAGGCAGTCACTTCCTGTGTACAGAGGCTCAACCTCGTCATCGCCTTCACCATGAAGCCCGAGATGCTCGACGGCATCCTCGCCTCCCTCAGCCCCAACCAATCCGAACTCAAGCTCATGGACGGTTCTCAACTTCAAATCGCCGATTCCCTCAACAGCATGGTACCCGCCAACGTCAAGAAATTCCAATACGCCTGCTTGGTCCGACAAGAAGGCATCCTGCTCGTATGGCATGATGATCTGCAGCATATCGTGCCCACGGCCGCCAGGATTGAGGAGAAGATGCTCGCCATGGTCTGGGGAACAGGTCAACTACCTTTCGGACGTCTGCAAGCCCCATCCCGACCGAACTCGGTTCTCTCCACCAACACTTCCATCTACAAAGCCGAGAAGCCCTCGACCCCGGGGCCAAGCAACATGGGCGCCCTCCCCAACGACAGCGCCGAACAGCTCGAGAAGGACGAGTCCGTAGACACCAAGGAGTCGCTCCAGCGGCCCGTTCAGCGCACATCCGCCTTCTTCGTCGGCATGGCCATGTGCCTGGGCATCGTCCTTCTCTTCGGCACTTACATCTCGCAGCTGCTGATTGAGTGTGTCGTCGACGGGACGTACACGCGCTTGGCGCTGATCGTCTGCGTGCCTTTCTTGCTATGCGTCAGTCTGTTCTTCTTCCAGGTTATCTTCTCGAACCTGTTCCAGATCGTTGGTCCCATTGGTGGACAGCATAGCAACTCGAGGTTCTACTCGTGCATCAAGCCGAGTCTGCGGAGGGCGTACATGGACGGGTTCACGGCGCCGCATATTACCATTCAGATGCCGGTTTATAAGGAGGGTATGGAGAGCGTTATCATCCCGACTGTCAGGAGTTTGCAGGCGGCTATTTCGTTCTATGAGAGTCATGGTGGTGAGTGTCTCCCGTCCCAGTCCCCCTCTAACTACCTTAGTGAGACCGAACCAGGCTAACTGAGTGTATGAAGGCTCCGCATCAATCTTCATCAATGACGACGGTATGCGCGTCATCTCCGAAGAGGAAGCCCAGAAGCGCATCGAGTTCTACCATGACAACCACATCGGTTGGGTTGCCCGCCCCAAGCATGGTGACGACGGTTTCATCCGCAAGGGCAAGTTCAAGAAAGCCTCCAACATGAACTTCGCTCTCAACATCTCCCAAAAGGTCGAGAAGTACCTCCAAGAGATGGTAGATGCCAAGCTCGCTGCCGAGGGCACCGACCTCATTGACGAGCAGGAGGAAGAGGAGATGTACCAAGCTGCTCTTGCAAGAGTGCTTGAGGAGAACCCGCTTGCTCAGGCGGCTGGCAACATCAGGATGGGAGAGTACATCTTGATTGTTGACTCTGATACCCGTGTGGTAAGTACTCCGGACTTCCCTCTTCTTAAAGAACCGTAACTGACTCAACCTACAGCCCGTCGACTGTCTCCTCTACGGCGCCGCCGAGATGTTTCTCTCCCCAGAAGTAGCCATCGTCCAACACTCCACCGGTGTGATGCAAGTCTCGTGGGATTACTTCGAGAACGGCATCACCTTCTTCACCAACCTCGTTTACACAGCCATTCGGTTTTCTATCGGTTCAGGCGAAGTCGCTCCCTTTGTCGGTCACAACGCTTTTCTCCGCTGGCAAGGTACGTTTTTTTTTTTTTTTTTTCATTCTCTCCCCTTCTTCCCCCTTCAGTTAGTCTGTCAACCATACTAACCCTCCAAAACAGCCGTCCAAGACGTCGGCGTCCCCGAAGCCAACGAGTACATGGCCTACTGGTCCGAGTCGCACGTCTCCGAAGACTTCGACATTGCTCTCCGGCTGCAAATCAAGGGTTCCATTGTGCGCATCGCCTCCTACCACGGCACGCAATTCCAAGAGGGCGTTTCCTTGACCATCTACGATGAGATCGCGCGCTGGCAAAAATACGCCTACGGCGTCTCGGGAAATGATTTTCCACCCCTTGCACCGCTGGATCTTCAAGGGACCATTTACCCCCCTTTTCTATACCTTCCTTGGGAGCAACATCATGTACTCCTCCAAGATCTCCATCTTCGCTTACATCTGCTCCTACTTCGCGCTAGCCTCGGCGCTCATGCTCACGCTCCTCAACTACTTCTTGGTAGGCTGGTTCGTCGACACCCTCGACCACGCGTACATGTCCTCCTGGCAAGTCTTCGTCTCCCTGGTGGTCGTCTTCAACATAATGGGCCACATCGCGCTCGCCGCCCTCCGCTACCGCACCGGCGAGCGTTCTTTGCTTTCATCCCTATGCGAAAACTTCAAATGGACGCCCATGCTCACCGTGTTTTTCGGCGGGCTGTCGTTCCACGTCACCACCGCGCTGCTCGCGCATCTTTTCCACCTCGACATGCAGTGGGGCGCCACGTCCAAGGAAAAGGAAAATTCCAATTTCTTCCAGGAGATCCCCAAGATTCTCAAGACGTTCAAGTGGATGTATGTGTTTTTGATCATAGTGGCCGCCGGCATGGTTTACCTTGGCAAGTTCGCGCCGAAGGGCTGGGAGATTCAGGATTTTACGGCGATTGTCCCCCTGGCGATTAATTTGGTTAGTCATGCGTTGACGCCGTTGGTGCTGAATCCGAGTTTGATGGTGTTTAATTACTGAGTGAGAGGGTTTGGGTGGTGGTGGTGGTAGAGTGAGAAGTGGTCGGGAAAAGAGCAAAAAAGGAGGGAGTGTCTTGTGTCTTGTGTGCGTGTATCATCTTTTTACGCCCATCGGCTTTTCCCTTTTTTCACTTTGTCTATATCGGAAGGAAGCAAAGAAGGACGGATTGTGGAGGGTGAACAGCTTTATGCGCTCGCTATGCTTTTATGCCGGTAGGTTACTTGATGGTTTGGATGGAGGAGGGCTGGTTTGGTCGATGGAGGAAAGGTCTCATGTCTTCAAGTCACACACTTAGATGAATCGTGTCTACGAATTTGGGATGGGATGGGAGTAATCGGACATAAGTATTGCGCCTTACATAAAATAATTCCATTCAAAGCAACGCCAATGCAGTCAGTCCCAATCAAACCTACCTCTACCCAAGATGCTTATGCTTATTATGGTGTTTTGTCACTTCAAAGACGATAGATAGATAGATAGCCAGAACAACAACAATTGGTATTTTTAAACCTGAAAAACAAAACAAACGACCGAAAATCCCATACATGAATGAGCCCGAGAGAGAGAGACCTTTACAAGAAAAGTTACACAAAGAGAAAAGAAATGACAAGAGACAGAACCACTCAGTTGGTATTGTCATCATCGTTATTCCCGCTCCTCCCCGCTCTCCTCTTGCCCTTGCCACCCTTCAACCCCATACCGCCCTTGAAGTGCTTCTTGCCGCCCATCTCCATCTGCACCTCCTTGACATCCACGCCCTGCTCCGCGGCAATGATCGCCCTCAACTTGCGGCCGCTCATGTGCTTCACCATGCTCTGCGCCTGACCCTGCTGGGTGTACTTCTGGTGGAAAGCCTTCTGGACGTGGCCGCCGTTGCCGGCGGTCTTGAAGAAGGCCTTGTCAAGCTTCTTGGACTTTTGGCCCTGGGGGAGCGCCAACGCCGTCATCTCGGACGTGAGCGTGGCGGTATCGTCGATCTCGACATCCCCGAGTGCCGACATCATCGCTACGCGGCGGTTCTCGGGCAGATGGGCAATGTCGTAGAGCTCGGCGTTGAACTCGGGGCCGTCCACGCCGCAGCCCGGAGGCGGCTCGCAGTAGAGGAGCTTGCCGTTGACGTAGTCCTTGAGGATGTAACGGACCGCACGAGACTGATCGGGCTGACCGAGACCCTGGGTCATGTAGCCACGGTGACGGGCATAGGCGTCGAGAAGCTCGTCGGCAGTGGGAATGCCGGTGCCGCCTTCCTCGAGCGGCCTGGTCTTGATCTTGATACCGTAGATGGCCTCAAGGAAGGCTTGGGGAATGCGGCGGGCGACGACGGCGGCGGGACCGGTGTACTCGCGCATCTGATCAATGGGCAGGACACCGTTGCAGACGAGCTCGGCCTTGGTGTTGGCGAAGTTGGGGAAGACGAGACCGGGACAATCGCAAAGGAGGACGTTGTCGCTGAGGTGGATGGTCTGGAAATGCTTCGTCTTGCCGGGAGTGGAGGAGACGGACACCTTCTTGGCGCCGATGAGAGCGTTGATGGTGGAAGATTTACCGACGTTGGGATAACCGACGAGACCGACCTGGAGCTTGCGATCTGTGGAAAGATACTGTTAGTGTTTGTTTGATTTGTGGTTCTGTCATGCAAGAGAAGCTTACCCTGATCCTTTGGTTGATACTGCAGGAGGATGTCCTCCAACTCATCAACCCGCAGGATGTGCGTATCCGGGTCATTTTCCTCGGTGGCCTCCTCCTCCTTGGCCTCCTCCTTGGCCTCCTCCTTCTCCTCAGCCTTGGGGGCCTCCTCCTTTTCGGAAGGACCCTCACCAGCATCACTCTCATCATCAGAATCCTCCTCCTCATCACTGTCAGCATACTCGCCCGCCTCAATCATCTCCTTGGCCAACTGAGCCGAGAAGAACCTGTAGTCAATACCCTCGCCCTTCAGGTAGTTCGCCCACATTTTCCTCTGCTTGTAGGTCATCAAATCGGCCTTGTTGATGAGGAGCAGGTTCTGCTTCTTGGGATCGATGTCTTTCACGTAGACCTCCAAGTCTTCAGACCGGAACATGAGAGGGTTTCTGGCATCGACGATCTGAACAATTACGTCCGAACGTTCGATGACTCTCCATAGTTGCCTCCACACCTCCAAGTTTCTCTCGAAGGGCGTCATCAACAGATCCTGGGTCTCCTGAAGCTCTGCCAATCCTCTGCGCCACTCAAGGAAGCTTTCACGCTCCAACTGGTCGAGCTCTTCGCGGGTAGTTGTGGAATCCCATTTCGGCCTCCTGGGTACCGTAAGACGGTTCTTGTTCTCCTTCTGCTTTCCAAGCACGGCCTGCTCCTCCTTGGCGGAGAGGAGGTAAGGGTTGCGCTGATCGGTATGGATAATCTTGACGTTGTTCATCTTCTCGGCGGTGAAGTCGGTTCCGGCCAACTCGGCAGTGGCCAGGAACTCGTCGAGAGCGCCCTGCTCGGTGATGGAGCGCATCTTGACCCAGGCAGCATCCTGCTTGTCGTTGGTGATGTATTCCTTGCCGGTCGCATGGTCGATACGAGTAACTGCTGAGACGCGCTTCCGGTCGGTTCCCTTTCCCTTGCCGAATCTGTCGTTCATCAACGTGTTGCCGAGTCCGACGGACTTTTTCGACTTTGCGAGAACCATGTTGGCGGTTGTCTTGGTGGTTGTTGTGCTTCGTGTAGTTTTCGTATGATGTAAATCCTCCTTCGACGGCAGAGGATATTATGGGAGAAAAAGTGCCCGTGTATTCCAACGACGACACTCCGAGACTGCTTCTTGTTGAGTTGTCGCAACAAAAAAAAGAAGTGACAAAACCGGGTATGTAAAGGGAAAACAGGCAAGAGGTTGTTGGCGGGGTGTTTCCAGAATTCAACTGCTAAAAGGCAACCCTGGAATTTCCTGCTGATAAATCTGCGATAACCTCGAATGTTTCCCCAGCGGACTGGAGATGGAGGGGCAAATTCTTACAATGCGGTAACGATACTGCGGTACGATACCACTAGGGCAGGGCCACTCTTGACCCGCTGATCACTACCCTTGCACTAACAGTTTCCCGCTTGGGCCGATAAGATAACCTTGATTGGCCCCACCAAAATTTTACCATTCATCGGTCATCCGCTGCAGGCGCCATCCGTCTTCACTGCAGTCTTCCTGGAGCCTTCTGCTTTTGTAATTCAGCGCACTCACCAATTCCTGTCGTCTTTCCCCTTCTTGGATTTTATCTGGGACTACTTCAACCATTCAAACCTTGCGATCCGATCATCCCCCATTTAGTCTTTCCCATACCCAGAGTAAATCCCCCATACCACAGTCAAGATGGGCAAAGGAAGGTGGATGTAAGTAGCCTACAGAAGCAACATCTCTCACGTTTATCTCCCAGGTCATTGTACTGACTTCCCTTCCCTTGTTCAGTGACAAGAAGACGGCGACGCACTTCACGCTTGTGCATCGTCCGCAAAATGATCCCCTTATCCACGACGAGTCGGCACCGTCCATGGTGTTGAACCCAACACAGCGCCCCAATGCCCACAAGTCGGCAAACCTTAGTGCCCTCGCTTCCGAGCTCGGCTCCGATGCCATGAGCATCCGTGACAACGAGGGTGAGGCCGCCAACTATGGCGTCTACTTCGACGATACCGAATACGATTACATGCAGCATTTGCGCGACCTGGGCACGGGAGCCGGGGAGGCCGTTTTCGTCGAGGCCAAGCCAGTCGCAAACCAGGACAAGAATAAGGGCAAGGGCAAGGCCACCCTCGAGGACGCCCTGAAGCAACTCAACCTCGAGAACAGCGCCCAGGACCTGCTCGACGAGGAGATCCTCCCCAACAAGAACCTCCAGAGACTCACCTACCAAGCACAACAAGATGTACCCGACGCCATTGCCGGTTTCCAGCCAGACATGGACCCCCGCCTACGCGAAGTGCTGGAGGCCTTGGAGGATGAGGCCTACGTGGACAACGAAGAGGAGGACATTTTCCAGGAATTGGCCAAGGACACAAAGGAAGTCAACGAGCACGAGTTCGAGGAGGCATACGATGAGTTCGAGGATGATGGCTGGGAGTCGGACCACACAGTGAAGGCCAGCAAGGAGTACAGGCGCGGCGGTGATGACGAGGTACCGGATCTTGTCGACACAGGTGCTGAAGGAGAGGGGTCAGGGCCGTCGGATGACTGGTATGATGCTTTCAAGCAGTACCAGCAGGACAAGAAGGCGGAGAAGAAGAACAAGGGCCCGGCGGCGCCATCAGAGATGCAATCCTCGATATGGACAACGACAACAATGGGTGGACGCAAGAAGAAGAGAGCCGGTGCTATGACCAACCCGTCCCAGTACTCGATGTCCTCCTCGGCGCTTGTACGGACGGACGCCTTGAGCATTATGATGGGCGGTTCGAGAAGCTGGAGGAGGAGTACAACGCTGACATGGACGATTTGGGTTCCGTCTCGGGTGTTTCTGCTGTTTCGACTGTCCAGGGCAACGTGAGGGCCGATTTCGACGGCATGCTGGATGAGTTCTTGGAGAACCACACGGCGGCCGGAAAGAAGAGGGTGAAGAAGGGCAAGTACCAGAGTGGTCTTGAGCAGCTGGAGGAGATCAGGAGGGGATTGGGACCTGCCAGACTCCGTCCTTCGTTTATCTAAAAAGGGAAGTGTGATTAGGGCGTTAGGGGGTACGGAAAACACATAAACGGGTGCATTGCGAGTTGATAATTGAAGTTTTGAATGAACAAGAAACAAAATGCCCCTGTGAGCTGTGACCTATGAACAGTCCACGCACCCGACTCAACTCTTGGTGATATCTATCTGTGACCTACCCCAGATTTGTGTTTTGATGTCCCAGCAGTGAGGCCGGAAGCGTCCCCGAGGCTGCACTTGAAACGAAATAGGCTTAGCGCGTTCCTCAAGAATCGATGGAGATGGGAAAAGTGGGTCTGAGCTGGTAAAAAGTTCCGTCGAAGTCGAGACAACAACATCGTCCTGCGAAGCTTTTGCTGTGGCACTGCCAACAGCCCTGTCAGCCCTGGGTCTTGGCAAAGATTGGCTCGCTGCCAGTCAGCCATCAGTCACTGACAGGCGGGAAAAGGCACAGAGCAACAGGCAATCGTGTCGCCTCACTCGCGTTGTCGCCCTCCTTCCCGACGAGAACGTGCCAGTGCAGTGCTGCTGCTCTCCGCACCGACGCTGTTCGCCTTCTCATTCTGGAGACAGACTTTCCACTTTTTTGCCATTCCCACCAGGCTCCCCGCCTTCATTCACCATCATCATTATCCACTGCAACAACTACAATAGTTCATTCACGTTGATATTCATTGAAAATCACCACAATTTCATTTTGCAAACAGAGTCCCTGCAGCTGACGCAAAGAAGGGAAAGCACTGCAGTACCGTAGCTGAGAGGACCATTCATTATCTGACATCAATTTTAAAAGGGAACCGTGCATTCCCTGACAGGGCAGCAGTTCCAGCCTTTCCCATCGATCCACGCCCTCCCTTCTCAGAGGCAGCTGCCCGTCGCTGCGTTCTGCTCCATTGAACTTTTTTTCGTCCCACGTCCACCACTCGTCCACTTCCACTTTCAAACAACCTGGTGGTTCCGCTTCTTTCTACATTTCCCCGTTTGCCTTTTACGCCTCGACCACTTTTGCAACCTTCCAACAACTTCCTTGGATTGCATTACCCATCACCCAGGATTTCCCCAAATCCATATCTCCCCCAATCCTCCTCTACATCGACATCCTCTTAACACCACATCTCAAATCAATCATCGACAATGGCGACTACTGCTATGGACTACGAGAACGCCAACGGCGATCGCTTCGATGGTATGTCCCCGTCCCCGTCCCTACTGCGTCATCGTCTTCCTTACCCTGCCTTGCCCTGCCCTTTGCGTCAGCACCCGCACCTGCGCCAGCACGAGACGCGCTGCGGATGAATGTCGCCTGTATGGTGTTCTCTTCGCGACTTCAGCCTCAGCCTGCCCTCACTCAGCCTGTCCTCCTCATCACCCACATCAACACACCTGTCACACATTGGGACACCACCCGGTCCATGTCTATCGACAGCTTGTCTACCTCAACTTCGCATCAGCAACTGACCGATCTATCTAGAGGACGCCCCTCGCTACGACCGCGACCGTAGTGCGTCGCCGCGTCGCGATGACGGCCACGATTCTTCGCGTCGTCGCTCCATGTCTCCCAACGGCAACGACCGGTAAGCACCGCCACCAGCTCGCCTGATCCGGCCCGCATACAAAAACAATAATATCTGACACCAACACCAGTGCTCCTGCCAAGGACGAGGGTCAGTCCAAGGGAGGTGAGGAGGATGGTGCTCGCAACCCTGGCTCCAACCTCTTCGTCACCGGCATCCATCCCAGACTGGAGGAGGCCGAGGTTACTCGTCTCTTCGAGAAGTACGGCGAGGTCGAGAAGTGCCAGATCATGAAGGATCCTCACACTGGCGAGTCCCGTGGCTTCGGTTTCGTCAAGATGGTGACTCCTGAGCAGGCCCAAGCTGCCAAGGACGGCCTGCAGGGTGAGGTTATCGAGGGCAGAACCCTCAGCATCGAGATGGCTCGTCGTGCTCGTCCCCGCACTCCCACGCCCGGCAAGTACTTCGGTCCTCCCAAGAGAGGTGAGTTGTCCCGCGCTTCCTCGTCAAAGGTCTTGAACTGATTCACTGAAAACATAGGCGAAGGCCGCTTTGATGAGCGCGGCGGCCGCGGCGGTGGCGGCCGTTTCGGCGGCGGATACGGCGGCGGTCGTGATGACTCGTACCGCGGTTACCGTGGTGGTGGTTACCGTGATGACCGTGGCTACGACCGTGGCTACGACAGAGGTTATGACCGCAGCGCCGGTTATGGCGGCGGTGACCGTGGCTATGATCGCAGCAGCTACCGTGAGGATCGTGGCTACGACCGCAGCTACCGTGGTGAGGACCGCGGCTACGATCGTCGTGAGCGTGGTGGCGCTGATGAGGCCTACGGCCGCGGTGGCGACCGTTACCGTGATGACCGTGGCGGCGAGCGCTATGGTGGCAGCGGCCGCGGTGGTCCTGAGGAGCGTCGTGCTCCTGGTTATGACCGTGATCGCGGCTACGACCGTCCCAGCGATCGTGAGGCCCGTCCTCCTCGTGACGCTGCCCCTGGCACTAGCAGCTACGGCGAGCCGGCTCCTCGTGAGGCTCGCGAGCCCTACGGTACATATTCGAACATCTGAACCCTGTCTGTGGTGAATGCCTGCTGACTTGAACAGGTACCCGCTAGGACCACGGTATCTAGGTTCCACACCCTGATTAACACCAGGAATCGCTCTCCTTCCAGCTTCATCGGCAGCACAGTTTTCCTTTAGCTTGTTTCTTTCTTTTCGCTCTTGGCATGGAAACAAAATCGGATATCCTAAAATTCGTCGGCTGGAGTTACGGCAGATATTTGGAGGGTAATTGGCCCTGTCCCGGCGGTTCGCCTTGCACCAGAACGGCTACCTAGATGAGCCATCTGGAGGTTGCGACACTCGACATCACATGGAATGGGCAACATGGTCGGTCAGCGTTGGTCGACATTGTCTAGGCCGTCACCCCTCTTCACCTCTTTCCCCACCTAATTGGATCAGAACAACGGAGGGGATGAAAGCCGCGCTTGTACGATTATTTTTCTTTCGCCTTCTTACGGCCAGCGGCAATATCGTGACGACTTAGCGCATCCTATCTCGACGGGTTTTCTTTTACGTAGTCGGCAAGCATGATACCAGCGCATCAACCTTCTTCAGCATTTTAATCGTGACGCCAATGCCTGAGACATCAGTGGCAAACATTCTTAACACAAGGTGCAACCCCATCGGAGCAATTCAAAATTCAGCATGTAATCGTCCTCAGCCTCGCCGAGCTCCTCCCTTCGCCTTGAACGTCTGCACTCGCCATTGTTACAGCATGCGACTTGACACCGTGTTTGATCCGCTCGCGATAATCACCACCATGGCCCTTTGACATCAAAGCACCACAGCACGGCAACCTGCTGGTGAAGCCGAGTTTCTGTCTTTGAAGGAGGCGGCAATCCTTCAAGGACAAGGCTTTTCATCCGATGTGTTGTTGGTCAATACCAAACACCCGCCCAAACGCCTTTAGGTACGTTTCCTGTCGTCATGCGACACTTCTCCGTCTTTGGCACGACACAAGTGCCCTCCATATCCCTCTCAGTTTATTGCGTTTACTTTGCTTTACTTTTACTGGGTGCTGCTGGAGCTTTGATGATCATAGGAAAAGGTCGATGGCAAGGCCTGCATTTTACGAATCGTCAACTTGCTTGTTTGAAGACGGAAAGATCGGTTGCTTGCAACAGACACATACGCAACAGCACAGGGCCATTACAAAATCATTCGTTCAGGGCCCAAGAGCCACAGGAAGCCAGCGTTGTGGCAAGCGTTTGGTGTACCAAGCCCGGGAACATGGCTTCAGCGAAGATGCAACTTACGCGTTAAAGCAACCTTTCGCTTGACTAGGTTTGGCAAATGATGACAACAGTCTCTTGCATTCTGAAGCCGCTCGCTCTTTCTCTGACCTTGGGTTGACGCTCTCTTCTTCCTTTTTTTTTATTCTTCGGGATACCAAGTCGGTATCTCTCAATCTCTTTATTCCCATCGTACGCCTTCTGCTAGACTTCATACAATGCCCTTGGCTCGACCCGGTAACCAAGCGGAGACTTCAACGCCGGGTGGTCGCAGTCCATAATCTGGGATTGGTCAAAAGATCTTTGACTCTAGTCGTGGACAATCGAATAGAAAATTCACAATAGAAGATTGTCGCTTATGTTAATTTCGTGCCGCAAAGCACATCCTAATCTACCTTTGATACGTGACATCCCTTTTAAGAACCTATCTCGGACAAAGGGGAAGCAACAACAAGAGCATCAGAAAGCTCGGTCGAGCCTTTCTTTACAGCCCGTATGTGAACAAAGACTTGAAGTCCGTGCCGGATGCATCGTAAGATCCCAATGCTTTGTGCCCGCGAGCTTCTGAGGGGCTACAGTTAAAATGCAAGTGAGTCCCCAGGTTTCATCTGATCTTGGTCTTCAGTGAATGCGTTGCCTCTTTTCCCGCAACAAGAACAATCTAGTCAACAAAGTTGTGTGTTTTCATCCTTTCTTCTCGCACGCAGCCGGGAATCATCATCCCTTGAACATCTCAGCACAACCATCATCCATCCATTTACCCTCAAACCTCCCTCAAAATGCCTCGCCTAACCAGAAACCCCGCCAAAAACGGCCCTGGGCCATTCGACTTCCTCGGCATTGCCATCGCAAACGGAAACGTCAAGTACGACATTCCCGAGCAGTACCAACACCTATTGCCCCAAAACGCCAACAACAACAACAACAACAACAACAACAACAACAATACAGTCGCAGCCGCCACTCCAGAACCGCTTTCTTTCCACTCATCCGCAAAGGGCACCCACGTAACCAAAGGCAACAAGAAAACCGCTGCCATTGCCGAGAGAGCAAACAAGATCGCTGTGGCGGCTGCTGGACACGCTGATAGTGCCAGGGTCACGCAGGCTATTACTGCTAGGCAAGCGAAGGGCGGTGGAGTGGATATTGATATTGTGATGCCTGTGGGTGGCGGGGGTGTTGGTGTTACTTTTGGGAAGGGTGGGCGGGGAGGGTGATTGAGCTTGTTGAGGATGGGCCTACTGGGCCTGCTGAGCCTGCTGAGCAAGCGGGGAAGAAGGGTGCTGCTGAGAAAACGGTAGAGAGGAACAAGAAGAGGAAGTTGGAGGTAATTGACAAAGAGGAGCACGACGAAGAAGACAGTGAGGAGGAAAAGGGAGAGGAAGATGATGAGGAATATAACCCTACTGGCAAGCCACCGGCTAAGAAGAAGCAGAGGAGGACTGCAAAGGCTCCTCTGAAGAAAGTTACTTCTTCTAGGAAGCAACAGAAGGTGACTAAGACTTCTGCCGCTGCTGCTGCGAAGTCTGTGAAGGCTGTGAAGAAGGCTGCTGTGAGGGGTGGAAAGAGCAAGGCTGTGGATGAGCAGGTTGAGAAGCATGAGAGGAGGCATGGGAAGGAGGAAAGGGAGATGAAGCAGGCGGTGGAGAAGCACGAGAAGAAGATTGAGAAGGAGAAGCTTGAGAAAGAAGTCGAGAAGATTGTCGAGGTTGAAGTGGCTGTGGTTGCTGTAGTGGAGGAGGGTAATGGAGGTAAGAAGGATGGGGAGGATAAGGAGGAGCCTGTGGAGGAAGAGGGAGGTGAGGAGGAGGGGGAGGAGGATTATGAGCAGCAGGATCGCAATCCTGACGCTGAGCCCGAGGAGTGATATTGTTCGTTCGTCTTCTTGGTATTGAAAGGGTGCTCTTTGAAATGTGCTTGTAATATAAGGGGAGGGGAATGGTCGTCGGATATAGGTGTCTGTATATCGGTTTTGTTGTTTCCTCATGCTCGCTGTTTAAGTGTTATGTTCATAGTGACGGACTGACAGTTTGTCTATGTATAGTTGCTGCTGCATCAGTCCTAATTCCTGAGTGTTGCTTCCTTATGGCTGCAGCTTTTTTTTTTTTTTTTTTTTTAACTCCTTTCCTTTCAGGTTATCTGCATGAGGGTATATGTTATGGCTGGTTCACAACACCTCGCCGTGTCATCTATGTTTTTTTTTTTTGTGTCATGTTCATGATCATGGCGTCCACAACGAGCAAGAAATCACGATGCCTACGGTACCACTAGTTCTCGGCCCTCAACCGTTTGATACGCGAGTGAACCACATTTCTAACTACACTTACTAGTATGCAGTTTGCAACAATTCCAATTCTCCAGTGGGCTTTTTCCGCCTAAACATAACGTTGACTTAATCTCTGCCCCTTGGTCGGATTAAGCAACTGGGCTTCTTCCCGTCTTATCTAACTGCAAAGTAATCGGCACAGAACCATGGAAGTATACTTGGGGGATTCGGTTGCCAAGTAGCTATCGACGGGTGTCGTAGCCGTGTCAACCCCTCCTCCGTCTCTTGCCTCTTTATGCAGTTGGTAATGATGCTGGCACTGATTATGATTCCTCTCCCAATATTACCAGTCAGTGTAGAGGCGCGGGTAAGGTTCGAAGTCACTTGTATACCAGAGCTGTAGTCACCCTATCATTTGACGGGATCCAAACCTGAAATAAATCCCAAGGATGACGCGTTCTCGGTCTGTATAAAAAAGTGTATAATGCCCCCCTCGATGACAGATATGAGGCATAACAATGGCACAAGTATGGTTGTGACATTCCTTTTTGACACCTAGTTATAGGTTTTATTGTCCAACTCTTTTAAGGTCTAGTCTGCCTTGGAGTTGGGGTAGGAAGTTATCACGCAGGCTTTTTATTTGCTATGATGCCCTCCTTCTCTCTCAGGCTCTCGCAGGTCTCGGAGAGAGAAAGAAAAACATGAAAGCTGGAGGTTACACGCAGGTGCACTGTACACTTTCTGAGGGACACAAAATGCCAATTTGACTAAATGTTTTTTCGTCGAAGTTGAAGATTAAGGATGTAGGAATAGATAGCGGTTGTGGTCATGGTTATCATATCCTTAAACTTCCAATCGGAGATAAGCGAAGAATAAAAAGATATAAAAAAATAAAAAATAAATAAAAAAGGGGGTTGCCCAGGCCGTTCCATTCGTACACAAGCTTTGTACAGCACTGAAGTCAGGCGCCGAATCGGCACCGATCGCCGATAAGCTTTGCCTACGGTCCGGACTGCTCGCCGGAGCCGAGCCGAACATCCATCATCCCATCACAACAGGAGGAGGCAGTGTCAGCAACCATCGTCGGTTTTGTGCTGTTAACAATTTTCTTTTCTTTGCAAGAATCAGCGAAGGTCGTTGTTGAGGTGACAATTTGTTCCTCGGCTTTACCACATATGCACCTAAGCATGGCGGTGCACTCTAGGTAAGCTGTGGAGATAGGGAGATAGGCATGCCTTTGCCTTCCATATGGCAGTGAACGGCAGTAAACGGGTTATACACTACCTCTACATAGTGTATGTGTAAGTGCAGATGGTCTGGAGCTGCCAGGCAGAGTCAGGATCTTCGAGTGCGTCATAGGCGCGACTGGCAGCTGCGGTGCGTGATGTACATGATGCTTGTTTGAATTTGATTTCCAATGGGTGTTTCAGAGAGCTTCTGAAGAGTTGAATTGGGATTGCGACAAATAGTTTTGGAAACCAGATGTTCGATGTCGCTTGAATCGGGAATACCGAATGTCAATTGGTGATACCTACATACCGTCCTGCTCCCGTGGTTGGAGATAGCCAGACCTGTAGACAAATATAAGCTTATCTGCTTGCCGAGCAACACGACAATCACGGCTCCAGCAGAGGTAACGTGCAGTTGTTATGACCGTCTCGCTTTGATTAGGTCCCGTCTGTACCTTTCTGGAGTTTGGTCACCAACCTAAGCGAGCCTCGAAGATCGGAACCCGGAACCGGGAGCGGTACCGATGCTCGTCTGATAAAACAAAGGATTGATAGACTCCGTCCGGGGGAGCAACTGCGCTAGTGATACCGCTTCTTTCGAGAGTCTCGACGAGTCGACGGGATGGAAACGTTGATCATAGGGGTGTCAGCTCGCTAAAAAAGAATCGAGATGGTAAAAAGTCAAGTCACTCGATGTCTTTGATAACGAAAAAAAAAAATACGATTGCGATGAAAGCGAGGTGCATAGTGTGCAGATGGAAGAAGAGAAAAGAGAAAAAAAAGGATGAGGTAAGGCAACGTGTAGCATACGTATGTACACCCTCCCTGCCGTGGTGCCTGCATCCTAAAAGGCAGGCTGTGGTGTTGGTGTGTGCCGTCTTATCCGGTTTCGTGGGAATGTTGGTTCTCAAAACCTTTGAAATGGTGTTTCGAGGCGGAATGAGCGAGTGTTCTAGCAGGTAATTATGTAACTATAAAAGCTCGGCGTTAAGGAACTATGGCCGACCATGTGGTAAATAGCTGTCAAGAGACAAAAGTTGTGGTGATACAAAGTACGGTGTACCCATCCACGCCATCCTACCCATCCTCCTCACACCCGCATAAATCTGGGAAGCCTTGCCTAAAAAGCTGATGTGTAATCAGGGAGGGAGTAGGAGGCTAACCAAGATGAAGTGACTAATTGGGCAGGTCGATAGGTCCATGGGTATGGTGATGGTTCGCGAGGATCCGATAGCCGGGGATCTGGGTTCGTAGGTATCCGTACTCATTGCCATGGATTGCTTTGTTTCCGTTGATGACTGATTTAAAATGTTGTCAAAACAGCAAACATGGCATTCGTATGACACTTCTGAGATTGAAGCAAATGGAAAGCAGATGTGTAACTGAAATAAAGTCAACATCAGGCGGGGTTGCCTAGAACACCTCTAGAAGATAGGGCTGACCAAGGACTGACGGTCAGAAAGGGCAACTGCTTCTGCTGTGCTTCTAGCGGAAAGAACCTGAAATCAACGTGGACAGCGGGTGCCCCTGGGCTTAATGCAGCGCCAAGCACGGCAACGATCCGGGGTGGAGGAGGTGCGTTGCCTGCGTCGGGACCGGTCACCTCGACCGGATGCAGGCCCATTGGAGCCTTTGCATCAGAACTTCAGCGATTTGGCGGGGGAGATGGCTGGGCAGCCACCTGCTGATTAAACATCAAGACACACAAGCGGTTTGGGGGCGTCATCGGCGGCGTCTTCTGACCCCGATCCCCGACTCTCTCTCATGATTTCTTGGGAGGTACCGGTAGTGTATTTCCCCTGCCAATGTTCTCCTCGTTCATACAAAGCCCCATCCATGGCCTGAGTTCCTTAGTGTGGTCGTGGTCTGCTGTCTGGGGCGTCGGTGATGGCGGTGGAGAAATGATTTTTAAGCATTTTTTTCCAGAATTCCACTTCTTGAAGAAAAGAACGATGGAGAGAAAGCGAAAGAGTGGACATTCCATCACAACGGCGGCCGGTTGCAATACCGACAAAAAGGAAAGAAACAGCGGAATGTACACAACAAGGAAGGAGGAGCCAACAACCCAACAGAGGATCCAGAGAAGGAACTAGGAACCTAGCTGGAAGGAGGGACCTTACCATTCACACCGGGGGATCAGATCCGCTTTCTGTTAAATCCGAAGTGGTTCGGTTCCGTCTACCTTTTTCACTGTTCCATTCCCGCCTTTTTGCTCTTTCCCTTTTGATTTGGTTTCTTCTTATCTTTTTGCTTTTTCCCACTTCTGGATATCAGGAGAAAATTTGTGTGTCATCCCCTCGAGTGTGGGATCCTCGCCTTCCTCGCTTTCTGCTTTTCTCCCTTTTACATACGCACTACGTACTCTTCCGTCCCAAGGTTGAGCCCCAAGGTTTGATACCTTAAACTCAACTAGGTATATATACACCATAGGCGGGAGATCGCATTTACAGCTTGATCCTCGCGAACCTGGCTCACTCCCTTCGGACACGCCAGCATCCTTCATCTTATTTTTAATACTCTCGTCGGAACCCAACCCATTTCACTCAACTTGGGTAGATCTCTTGCTCCACCTCGTTTGCTTGTTATCACTCGAATTTACCCCAACCTGAAAGGCACACGACCTTAATCTCAGTCAGGTAACGGCACCTCTGACTTCAACTTAGCGTCGGTGACGTGCTGTCTACCTGCGGCCTGCGACCTGCGACCTGCCAGCCCCCTGGGCAACCATCACCCCTTTGCGCATAATGGCAACACCCGAACAATAATATTTTTTCTAGATATCGGCCTGCCAATCACGAGAGACTTCAGTCGTCTTTCTGTTACCGAGTACACGACCACTGCCTCCAGCAAGGCTTCTCTATAAGCCGGGCTGCCAAGACGGCGCCTTCTCTTCAACATCAACATGGCCGACTCCCCAAACGAGAAACCAAAGGAGCTCAGCCTTCCAAACCCCGCGGCTGACCAGAGACACCGAGAGGATGAGATCGAGGAAGTGCCCAGGAACGATGACGAAAAGCCAGCCATTGGCTCGTCTTTTGTGGGGGAGAACGACGAGAAGAGGGCCGAGTTGAACCGCATGAGGACCAATGGCACCAACACCAGCGTAACCACGGCCGCTACTATCCATCCTCATGCCGAACAAAAGCCATGGTACAAGCAACCTAATCCTCTGAGATGGGGGAAAATCGAACCGATTCCAGAGACGAGGAGGCCATCGCCAGAGCACAATGCCAGTTTCTTCAACTCGCTCTTCTTTAGTTGGATGGGCCCTTTGATGTCGGTAGGTGAACGAGGATCCGAGAGAGTCATGTGCACTTTGGTTCAGCCACTAACAACATACGTGTAGACTGGATATAAACGACAGCTGGAGCT